CCGAATCGATTAAATGGGTGTGAGTGAGAGCATCAAACCACGCCGTACACACACTCTAATCACAGCGACGACTGAGAAATTAGAATATTTACGTAATTAAATATTTTTTAAATGAGTTTACATAAATATATATGGCATTAGAATATATTAGAATATATGGACATGTAAACATCTCAATTTTTTAACGTGTCCTTCTTAAAATATATATAGTAAATCCTGATTTTTAATTAACATATGCATAGTTTTACGGAATATATGTACTTATGCATTCACTTTAAATAAATAAAATTACCCAAGTAATCAATTAAAATTATTTCATAACTTGTTTATATTGTTTAGAATTTATAAGTAACTTAGTAATGCCCCTGTTAAACTTAAAAGGCATAATACGCGCCGATTTGTATGCCCACTTTGAAAAACCCTTTAAGGTTTCTAATTAAGTTGCTATAGGTGTTGGGTGCATGTCTAACTGGCGGATGGCAGCCGCATATCCGTTGCCGCCATATTAGACTTTCGGGCGGCAAAAATAATTTATGCCCAGCTTTCGTCTGACCCCCCTTTATCATTCAGCGACCCAATAGCTACGATTCACTACCAACAATTTACAACTGGCACAACTGAAAGGGCGAATTCCGGACTTGGATGATGCATGGACAGCATCGGAAATTGGTCGATTAGACTGGGGAAATATTTCTAGTAAAGGACATGAGGTCCTTGATTTCCAGAGCTGTGTTGGTAAATGCATTTTGACATATAATTGGTATTGCCTACTATTCGGTGCTGTAAATGTTGATTTAAGTTAGATTTTAGTAAGCTAAACAATTTATAACTGGCTTTTTAATATACGCTTCTACTAGTGTTGAAAAAGAGACATTTACTTGATTTGTGAACATTAACGTTCTTAAGTTAAGTAAAACATATTTCCATTAAGGCCATGCCCTTTTGTCCTTATAAATACAATTTATATTTATATTACATTGCCTACTTTTCTGCGTCTGTGTTCGGTTAGAAGGTTTTTATTTTTTCCCTCGGGAAATTGACTCCGACTCGAGTCTTCTGCTTCAGTTTTCCCATTGTTATTGGCGCTAATTCCGACGTGCTCCCAAAAACAATTTCCTGAGAGCGCATTCGCGATTGTCGTCGGCATCGTCGTCGTCGTTTTCCACATCGTCTTCTGGCCACTTCGACTCGCCCCGATTTTTTAATAGATAGATACACATCGCAGCCAGCGGCGCGATTAACCCCCAAAAAGAAGTGTCAACTTTTAACTCAACCGCCAAGTGGCCAACCCCAAGGATTTGTGTCATTGTGAAATAATTTGGTTAATTCAGTTTTGGCAATAAAAAGCTATTCTTACAGGCATTGTTAACATGATTTTTTATATTTTAATATTTATTTGACCGTTTTTATTTGAGATTTGTTTTAAATATTCATATATCAAAATTACTTTTATAGGTGCGATATGCAGTTAATATATTTTTTTGTTGGTTTTAAGTATAAAAATATATATTTATTATTATTATTATTTTGACAGTTGCTTTTGCTAATAAGCTAGACAAGTTATGACAAAAACTGCCATTATCTAACAACCTCTGTAATAAGTCTTCAAAATAAAGTGTCAAGACTTATAGCAAACTCCACAAAAGGTTGGAAAAACCACAAGGATTCATGTAATTTGCTGTACCAGACGCAGGACGCTAGATGAGAAAAGTTCGCAAGCTTTTTCCAGAAATCAAAGCAATTTCATTAGGGAAAAGAGGAAAAACAGAGAGTGAGAGTGGAACAAGAGAGGGACGGGGAAGTTAATAGCCCTATGCGTTGCTTTGGCAACTTTTGCCAACTTTTTGCTGTCCCTTTGTGTGCCAAGATTAATGATGTGCCTCGAGGATGACGATGCTGCATGAATGCTTGGATTTTCCACTTTGAGGGGGAGTCGGTTTGGGGACCCGTCTATATGCTAATCAAATTTTCATCTGCCAACATTGTTCTTGGCCTTGCTTGGCACTCGTAAATCATTATACAAAAGCGAAAAAAGCTAAGAGCAATTAGGCGCATAGAGCAACAAATGCACTGATAACAACAGCGTGAGTCTAGAGAGAAATTGCTGGAATATATCCGAAAGGCAGAGAGTTCGCGGAAAGCGGGAGAGAAGAATGAAAAACTCTCTTTTTTGCACCCATATGCTCTCCGAAATCTCTCTGTTGATAAGCAAATACAATTTCTAAAGAGTGTAATGCCGGGCACGAGGAATAAGTTCTAGCAAAGCTCTAAAAAAACACGAATATTAGCTCTTATAAGCAAACGTATAAATCGTTGTTTATATAATATGTAACTCAGCGTGAATCATCTAGCAGAGGAACGTATCAGCATTACTAATCACTTAGTTAGAGCAGATAATGAGAGATACAAAAACATTGTGAAATGACTGACTTTATATGCTAATAAGTAGTTTCAAGCTGTGTACAAAAAGTACTTTTATTAAAGAATAAAAAAAAAACAATAAATTGTTTAACAATGGAGTCTGTATTATTTAATTTGTACTGCATTAACGCTTCAACTCGTAGCACTGTACCCCAACAAGTTATCGCTTATCAGTTGGTTAATCCCGAATAAACAAGCCGCATTACGACATTTTAGACAGTACACATTTCTATACAATCTGAATAAAGACCTTGATAAGGTCTCATTTATTTATTGATTAATAAATAATGCCCAAAATGCTCGCCCGAACTGTCAGCACAATACAATTAAACGTGAAAATTCAAATTGCTACGATTCCTAATGGCACCTAATGGTCCGGAAAATCGATTTCACCTTAAAAAGAATTTAATGACGGTTTGTCACGCTTCCACGCGAAGAAAAGCGCGAAAATCGAAGCAATAACAACAAATCGAATCAGATTGTCTGCAACGCCTACAAAATGTGTTTTGAGGTGCTTCTGCTTTTGGCTTTCTAAATTGAGATTAAGCGGAAAATTCACAACAAGGCGTTGGACCTGAGGCAATGATAATAATAATGTTAGTCAATCAACTAGTAGGTGGAATAGATTTTTACAGTGTAAACACTGCAAACACCAACCATCATATCGCATGTAAACAGTGTGAATATCGATAACATTTTCTGTACTGACTGGAAATAAGGTCAGAGTAGATTAGGAAATTGCAGCAATTGTGAAGAAAAAACTTCCAGAACCGCAAGTAAAAAGAATTTTTTTTAATTAAAGTAATTTTTTATCTCCATCCCTTGACATTAAAATAGTAAAACGTTTTTATTTTACCCATTTAAATGGCTTTCCCCCTATTCTATTAGTTTATCTGTTAATAAAATAATATATTTTTGAATTTTTTACTGATGTTACTAATTAATTTATTGGTTATAATTGCTTTAATAAACTTTTTCATTCCCAAGCTATAAAGTACTTTGTTTTTATTGTTATCAATTTGTCTCTTGTATATTTTTGATAGGTGAAAGTTTTGAATTATATTGAATTTATTGTTATAAGATACTCGCACAAAATACTGGTTTAAGTTTATTGTGCTTAATTTAAGTGGAAACGGAAGTCATATTCAGAGTATCATAGGTCATAATCTAGTTAAAAAAAACTGCCATAAACCGGTTATCAGCAGTTGCACTTCGTCCATCAAGCCGAATTTTACACCCCAATTACCTGTGTCTAAGCGAACCCGTTCGAAACTCGCTAGCTCGATTGTTATTTCGGGCAACAGCCGGCAATTGTTGGCAAATGTTGTGATCGCAGTTGCAATAGAATATATGGGCGGATTGTCGCTAGCCACGCTTATTCATTCAATTTGCTGGCACGTTTTGCATTACACACGACAACCCTGACCTACAAAGCGGCGTATAATGAAAAAAAATCAAGCAAACTGCAGCCTGCTTGTGTTGTTTCTGCTGTTGGCCGGCGCTTGAGCAGAGTTTACATTGAATGTTATAAATAAATTAAAGGAACGCATACACAGGTGGGTGTGGGTGTGCTCGCTGTGAGTGTGTGCGTGTGTTTGCATGAGGCCGGTCTGTCTGAGTTCCCAAGCGATGCACGACTAGCATTCAACGCTAATTGCCGTTGATAAGTGGACAGCATTCCTCAACGCAAAACTAGCTAAGCCTATTATTATTTACTTAACATTACAGCGTAGATTCCGGTTCAAGGGTTCTTAATGTGTAAAAAAATAGTTTCACAAGCACGTGAAACTATGACGGTTTCCAAGGTAAGTTGAATAAGGAAGGATCTCGATTAATTTTTTTTTAACGTAAACAATAGACATTTTTAAGGTTGTTTTTCAAAACAAATATTAGGCTTGAATTTTGGCTAGAAATAACCAATCAATTAAAATACCTATTTAAGAGTAAATGTAAACAATAAAGGTAACGTTGTCCGTCAAATTGATTGCCTTTGCAAAAATACAAAAAACACAAAGCTAAATTTGTGAATTTTTGGTTTTTATAGTTATTGGCTGCTTTCTTTCCCAGACACACACACCAGGACAGAGTTATATGAGCCACATTTACATCTGCTTAAGACAGTGACAGATACTTTCTCTTTTCCCCGCTCAAGTGTTGAAACTCTGGCTAAAAATAGAATGGCAAGCGAGCAAGCAGGGAAAAAGAGGTGGATTTTCCATTCATATCTTGTGAATTCTTCTGTCGCCTTTTTCAACTGTTAGCTATTTTGAAATACAATTAATTATACAGCTAGTTTGTCAGGCAGAAGAATTGTTGGATATGTTTACAAAGTTCAAGTGTTTGGGAGCAGCTGCGCAGCAAGCGTTCAGAGAGAGAGCACGTTTATTTTTAGAGCAGCGAGAAGAGCGGGCCAAAACAGCGAGAAGAGCCAGAGAACATGCGCGCAAAGTGCAGCATCTCATCTCGCTCTTGCAGGCTCTCCTCTCAATGCCTGCCGCCGATGCAACCTAAGCGTTATTACGAGTGTGGTTCTCCCCATTCGTTTTCACATTTTCCCCAATTTTTACACATTTTCTCACCTGGTCGATCCAATGACTGTCTGCGACTCATTGGCAAAATATTTTTGCTCCCTGTCGTGTTGTGTTTTTGTTGGGTTTAGAGAAGCAAATTAAACTAAATTTGATTGCTTCATTGGTTGTTGTTTGTTGCTGGTTGTTTTGTTGCATTTGTTGTTGCTGTGGTTGCCAGTTCCTTTTGCTGTCGCTATTGCTATTGCTTTTATTTCCTTTTGTCGCGCTGCTTCTTACTCAATTCTATACACTCAACACACAAACACTCGGACATTTTTTCGAATTTCGCTTCACACGCGACTGTTGACTTTCTTTTTGCCCTCTCTTTCTCTCTCTCTTTGGTAGAAGAGGAGAACGCGACAGATGTTGGCACTGCTCTTTAACGTTGTTGATGTTGCTGCTGTTGTTGTTGCCGCTGCTTTGGGGATATTTGAGGTGTTGCTACTGCTATTGCAATTTGTGCCGTGTTGTGGTGTTTTGTTTGTTGCTGCTTCCTCTTCTTCGCTGGCTTGTTGTTTTTAAAAACGCTTCAATTTTGACAACAACTCGCAGCGCAGCCACACACACCTACACACTGAACTGGCAAGCACACCGACACACACACGCGCGCACACACACACTCTCACGCTCGCGCGTCACGTCAATGAACGCAGCAGCAGCAGCACGTAGTTGTTGTTGTGGTCACTGAATCTCGCTTTTTACGCACATGATGCTGGGGAATCGGAGCACTGGATCGGCGACTGATCATCTGAATTTTGTTTATTTACATTTCAACACGGTTTTTGTGTATTTTCCGCGATTTTTTGCGTTTATTATTCGTTACGCACGGCCGTACAACGAGCGCCGCCGCCGACAAACAAAGGGAAAATGGTGAATGTGAAAAATGTGAAACTAGGGTTGTCACTAATCTGCGGGGATTTCAGGTATATCGATATTTCTGTGTTCATCACTGCCGGTTTTATGTCTAGATGCGGGGATTTCGAGATAATTTTATATTTCAATGCAATATACATATGTAAAATGTGGAAATGATTTAAGTTTACTGGATATCAATACAATATAATTCCATAATATTGTGTATTCTCTTATTTAGGCATATTAAAAGAGGGCTTTTGTTTATGTTTAACTTCCTTTAATGTATTTCATTTAAATTAAAAATTCTGTACAGCTCTTGTAATTAATGACGATGTTTTGAAATACGGAAGAACCAGCGAACTTGACATTCGAAAAACACCTGACAACTCTGGAGAAATACGAAACATTTGCTCGCAGCAGACATTGGGTCGGGGACGTGTGTGCGAGTGAGATGGCTATGTGCGATGGGCCGCTCGCAGTGCTGCCGTCGCACTCGCTCACGAAGAGGTAGAGAAGAAAAAAACCAAAACGAAATGGGAAACAGGCGAATTTCACAAAACATTTGACAAAATCAGTTGACAATTACACTGTAAACGGATTCCGTTTGCCTTCAGCGATCGGGGCTCTAGCCGTTTTTCCCGTTGTCAAACGCGCGCTGCTACTACAGCGTTCCGCAGATTTCCCGCACTTTTGCCTACACTCCGGATTTTTTTTCTCCTCGAGATTGTTTTTCATCGATTGTGCCACCTATCGATACATCGATAGCGATATCTGACGCCTATCGCTCGAGTTTCCCATACGATACCCAACTATCGTCCATCGCTGCTTTAATTACAAAAAAATAAATATAAATGAAGTGAAGCGGACGCAGCAACAAAAACAAAGAGATTGCTACGACAAAATGCTACGGGTAAGTGACCTGCCCGGCGGGTGGAACAAACTCTCGGCCAGCGTACATTATATATAGACTTCCTGGGCAGGCAATCGGGAAACGGGACAGGGACATCTTTGAAGAGGTTTGGCCGGATAAGCGGAGGATCGTGCTAAAGCTGCTGCGCCAGGACACTGTGTCGCAGCGCGAGTGGCAGGATTTGTTCTTCGGCGTACACTTTGTGTGCCTGTGGGACGAGAAGGGCGCCGCCAAGATCTACGACTGCCTGCAGCAGGACATCGTCGAGTTCATCGTCCAGGCGCAGAGTCAGGTACAGGCTCAGCGTGGAGAGCAGGCCCTGCTGGCCACCTACATTGTGGAATGGCGCAAGTTCTTCACACAGTCCAACTACCTGCCGCTGCCTTTTCGCCAGCTGGAGCAGTCTCCGCAGGTGAAGCCCTCGTCAAGCTCCTCCGCCGCATCTGCCTCGGGAGCAAGCACCAGTGCCGCGGCCGCTGCCTCCTGCAGTGGTCAGCCGGGCAGTAGTAGCTCCGCGGTGAACAAGGCAAGCGCCTCCACCTCGGCGGCAGCCGCTGCCTCCTCTGCAGCCTCTACTTCCGCCGCCGCCGCCTCGACATCCGCCTCAACGAGCTCAGCTGCTGCGGCGGGTGCGGCGTCATCGGGAAGCAGTAGCAGCTCCACCTCGAAAAAGAATCCCACAGAGGACAGTCCCGTCCGCAAGTTAATGCTGGACTCGTGGAACATGCACATCTTTCACGACATCAAGCACCGCCTGCAGGAGTCGGCCATGAAGATTGTGCACGCGGAGCGGAATGGCGATGCTTATGACGCTCAACTGGTGGTAGGCGTCCGGGAGAGCTATGTGAATCTCTCCTCAAATGCGGAGGACAAGCTGGAGATCTACAGGGAGAACTTCGAGATGGCTTATCTGAAGGCCACAGCCGAGTTCTATCGTCTGAAGTCCGCGGAGCAGCAGCAGGAGAACGGAGTGCTGGCTTACATGAAATACGCAGATGCCAAGCTGCGCGAGGAGGAGGTGCGAGCGAAGCGGTATCTAGAGCCTAGCAGCTTTAACATACTCACCTACACACTGGTCAAGGTGCTCATTGTCGATCATCTCAACTCCATCATTGCGGAGTGCCCAGCTCTGATCAGGGATTATGAAACGGAGCGCCTGAATCTCATGTTCCGACTAATGGACCGAGTCCTGCACGGCGTCGGTGTGGAGGCGATGATGAGTGACCTGCAGCGACACATCCAGTCCGCGGGTTTGGCTGACATGCTCTCCGCCTCTGAGGTAATTACCCAGGACTCGGAAAAGTATGTGGAGCGGCTGCTGGAGCTGTTCAACAAGTTCAGTGACCTGGTGCGCAACGCCTTCAATGACGATCCCCGCTTCCTCACCGCCCGCGACATCGCCTTCAAGACGGTCGTCAACGACACCAGCGTGTTCAAGATGGAGCTGCCAACGAGCATCGCCAATCGGGGCGTCAAATACACGGCGCCGGAGAGCAAGTGTCCAGAGCTATTAGCCAACTATTGCGACATGTTGTTGCGTCGGACACCGCTCAGCAAGCGCCTCACCAGCGAGCAGATTGACGCCCGCCTGCGCGACGTTTTGCTTGTACTGAAATACGTGAACAACAAGGATGTCTTTATGCGCTACCACAAGGTTCATTTGACGAGGCGGTGAGTTTATAGCTCAAATCTATTGATTGGGATTGATTTTCTACGAATTCTGTATAATTTTTCAGCCTGATTCTCGGCACCAGTGCGGACAGCGAAAAGGAGGAGGACATTGTTGAGTGGCTGCGCGAGGTGGGAATGCCAGCAGACTACGTCAATCGGCTGGCACGAATGTTCCAGGACATTAAGGTCAGCGAAGATTTGAATACTCAATTCCGCAGCTCGATAAGTCGCCACGACGCTATCAATATTAAAATACTCAATGCCGGTGCCTGGGCACGTTGCTCGGAGCGCGTGTCAGTGTCGCTGCCCATCGAACTGGAGGACTATATTCCCGATGTGGAGGAGTTTTACAAGAAGAAGCATTCCGGCCGCAAACTGCAGTGGTATCATCACATGAGCAACGGCACCATCACCTTTGTAAACAACTTTGGTCGCTATGATCTGGACGTGACCACCTTCCAAATGGCCGTCCTGTTTGCCTGGAATCAGCGGCAGCACGACAAGATATCCTATGAGAATCTACGCCTTGCCACCGAACTGCCAGGTAGGGTTTCATTATTTAATTTGGGAACTCCCTGAGCTTAAAAGTATTTCCCGTTTTCTGTTAAAGATCCCGAACTGAGGCGAACGCTGTGGTCGCTGGTGGCCTTTCCCAAAATCAAAAAGCAAATACTGCTCATGGAGCCGGCGGCCATCAATTCGCCCAAAGACTTTGCCGAGAACACAATGTTCTATATCAATCAGGAATTTGCCATCGTCAAGAATGGCAAATCGCAGCGGCGTGGAAAGGTAAAGAAATATAGGATAACATCCAGGGGACTTTAACTATAATCAGCTTTTCCGTTTCCCTTAGCTTAACCTTATTGGTCGGCTGCAACTGAGCACGGAACGGTCACAGCAAGAGGACAATCAGTCCATTGTGCAGCTTCGCATCCTGCGCACTCAGGAAGCCATAATCAAGATCATGAAGGTGCGCAAGCGGATGAACAATGCTGCGCTGCAGGTAATTGCTTTGAAGTGTCCATTTTGGCGGATCTTCAGTCGCTTTGTTTTGCAGGGTGAACTTATCGATATACTGAAGAACATGTTCCTGCCGTCCAAGAAGATGATCAAGGAGCAGCTGGAGTGGCTTATAGAGCACAAGTATATGAGGCGCGACGACGACGACATCAACATGTTCATCTATGTGGCATAGAATGGCTATGGCTGCTCTCCCAGATGCTGCTCCAGGTCCCAGGCTCTAGTCTCAGTCCCCCGTCTAAGCAATCATTCCCTATCTCCATTTCCATTCCCCTCACACGCCGTCGCTACGGCGATTTTAATCTCAATGCCGAGACGTGCTCAAAGCACGAATGCAACCTTTATTTCTAACTGTGGAATTGGATCAATTGTATTATATATATGGAATCGTGATTCGCTGCTGACATTGCGTCCTCAAAGCATTTAAATCGGCAGGCATTTCAGTCCGGCGTCCGCCTTCCGCATCTCCTCCACGTCTGTAACCATATCCGTATTCGTATTTTGTGAATCTTTGTATTTTTATATTCGGCCCAACTAACTCCATTGGCTTTTAAGGCGCATGTAGCTCTAGGTATTATGTTTCGTGCGTTTAAGTGCACCCCCCAAAAGCCCCCCTGGAAGTTCCGTGCCCATGCCCGCACCCTGCCCCCCATGAATATTTATCGATCGATAGCGTTAATCTAATCAACTTGCTGTTTTCTACGTATGTAGTTCACCTCCCTTGTTTGTTTCCGTTGCCTGGTCGTCTTCTGTTGATTCTTGGGTATTTTTGCAATGTTCTGCGTAAGACGATGCGCTCATCCACATAGGGATTTAAGCCTCCTGAGGTCTGGCACTCTCCCAGCATGGAATGCATAAACATACACGCAAACACTCACAATACACACACGCGATCGCTAAACAACTACAGCTAAAATATAGCAATACTTTTACATTTTAAGTTAATGAATAAACTTGGTTCTACCCAGATAATGAAGCGAATCCACATTTCTTATTCATTTTTAAATTGGTGGCAGTCTTGTGTACATATATTGTGTGCATTCTTTTAAGTTTAAATATTTTGAAAGCTTAAGGTATAGGAAATTTTCAGAGACCGGATTCGAGTTCAGCGCATCAAAAACTATCGGAAAAGCTTATTCCGGTTCTTGGTTCTGCCATGTCATGTGTGTTATGGATGATGGATGGGCTACTAACACTATTAATTTTAATTAGAAACAGCTTCCTTTTGTTTTTTAATAAATATTTTATTTTAGAACCTCATATAGTTGCCCAAATAAAACACAACTGCATATCATTACAGCAAAATGCTTGTCTTGTTTATTAAACTTATAAAAATAAAGGGCGGATTTTGGGTCGAACACGAAAAGATTGACTCGAAATAAACTACAAATGTAAATGATACAAACTAATCAATTATGATAATCGATGGAAAAATACCTCAGCTCCACAGTTCTGACATGCAAAATACATTTTAAAAACATTACATTAACCTAATTAGTTAAATTATATGGACAAAAACTCAGGGACATTCAAAGTTTACAAAGATCATTCCCTCAAATAACAAGGACACAGGGATGCTGACGCCTTAAAATACATATATGTATAAATTATGAATTCGGAACCCTAGCCTATGCTATGACTTATGATCCTACACAGCTAAAATACTATTGAAGCGGGCGTATGCATATCTCGGTTAAGGTTGGGTCGGTATCTTGTGACTGCCACAGGAGGAAGAAGATTTAAATGGAAAATCTAGTTTCCTTTAAAAGTCTCCTCAATTGGTTATCAGCTAGCGCCCTAGTTTATTGGGTTTAGGATTAGGACCAAACTATCTGTAGATCTACCGTCGCTTGCGTCCCTTTTTATAGCCCTTGCCGTACCACCCCGCCTGGGTGCGTGCCAGCTTTCTTGGAAAACTCGTGCTCAGCTGCTGCCTTCGCTTGGCGGTCTCCGCGGCCGCAATGTGCGCCAAGGATATATTCTCATCGTATTCATCGTCGTCATCGGATGTGGGACAGCACTCACAGACCACAAACCGGCCGCTCCTGGCCCGTTTCTTGTGCTTGCGCTGATTAAGGTTCCAGCGACGATAGAATTGGCACTCCAGCTCGGCATACCGGTCGAAGCAGAAGTCACAGCTGGCGGCAGAGCGGTTCATGGCAAAGTTGGGCACCACCTGCAGGTTCCAAATATTTAGATCCGCTGGCGGTGGTATCAGGATGCTGTGCAGTCCGGAGTACGCATACTTTGCGTCGTACCAGCTTGGCAACTGGCGGAGAAGCTCTTCATCGGTGTTCTGCCTTAGCAAATCCACTTGGGCCAGGATATTTTCTTCTCCCAGATCCTCCTGTTCGTCTTCCTCTTCCTCATCATCGTGTTCTGTGCTGGAGTCGCTCTGGGTTTGGATGTTAAGCGCCTGAAAGGCAGGTGGCAGTACAAGTTTGGGCTCGACGAACGGCGTGCTCAGGGGTGCTCCAATAGGCACCAGCGGTGGCAGTTCCATTGGTTCCAGTCTTAGCTCAATCGGGAGCTCGGTACTGCTGACTACACTGGATTTTTGGATGGCCACTAGCTTGGGCAACTCCACTTGGCCATTGGCCACCACCACCTGTGTATCTACCGTTTCCTCTGCCTCCTCCTTGAGGGACAGGGGCTCCAGCTTGGGCAAGAGCTCTAGCAGATGCAGCTCTTGTTTTACGAAGGTCACATGGCTGTCGATTACTTCCAGTTTTACCTCATCAGTCTCTATTTTAACGGATGTCTCCGTAGCTTCCAGCTGCAAAATGGCGCCATTTTTATCCTCATTCTTTACCTCGCCATTAGTGCCCAGCTGTTCCACCTTGATTTCCTCATCCTGGCCATTGGTTAGCTTATATTTTTGACGAAGTTCCAGATTGGTCTTCACCCGTCGTCCGTTCTTAATCGGCGTCCGGATGCGCGGCCCCTTGCCGATGGGCAGATCGCTATAATTGTAGCTGCAGCTCTCGCTGGAGATGGTCGAGTCCTGTGTCTCCTCGGTCGTGGTGGTAAAGGCTTCCTCTTCATCGGCGTTCTTCAACAGCGGTTGCGTGAGCGTATGCAGCTCCTCGGGCATCAGGAGCGACGCATGTGCAAAGATCGGATCCTTTTCCTTGGTGTAAACGGGCACTGGAATGTGGAGGAGGTGCATCAGTTGCGCCATCACCCGATCGCACTTGCCATTGATCTTGATGCTGGCTATCGCGTCCTTGGGCGTCCACTGCAGGTTTACTACACAGATCTTGGCACGCTGGCGTGCCGGCCGATCCATCTGCCATAGCCAGGTGTATTTTTTGAGTACTTTAAGGCTGGAGCCCAGGCAGAGAATCACATCCGCTCGCTCGGCACTCGCAGTGGCACCCGCCCAGTTTAGCGGCCACTTGAGGTTTCCTCGCTCCCCGAAATGCACGATGGTGTCGTACAGGGGCTCCGAGCAGCGATGGCACAGCCGGTGGGTCTTGTGGCAGTAGCGGGCGGTCATCTCAGTGGTGTCGAACTGACGCCAGTAGACGGCGTTCGGACGGCAGTTCTTGCACACCTCCACATACATGTTGCCATGGATCTCGGACAGCGAATGCCTCGGTAATCCGGATCTCAGGTGCAGACCATCGCAGTTCTGTGACACCACATGATGGAGGAGTCGACGGCGGTGGAGCTCGTACAGGGCCATATGCGTATAGGTGGGATTCGCACTGGATAGATCATGCTCCCCAATATCTTGGCCCTTCTGCAGCAGGGTCCAAATGCCCTGGCTGCCTCGGTAGTCCGGTATCAAGGCCGCTGTGCTAATCCCGGCGCCAGTGTAGCAAACCAAATGCTTGGCCTGCGATATGATATTGGCCAGCTGCTCCACCTTTGCCTCAATCACGTGCGGCGCATCCTCGCGTTCCACCACCCTCTCCTTGTAGATTTCCACGCGCTCCTTGCGCTTCTTGGTCGCCTTCACCATATCCGGGTGTTTATCGAGAAACTGTCGGTCATCCGCCGAGCGCAGCGAGTCGCATTTTTTCAAAATCATCGAGACCTAGAATGAAAGAAATATATTTTTTAGTTATTTTTAAATATTTATATTTTCCTAAAAACTGTTGGTTTTATCTCTCTGAACTGGATAAATTGGAACACTTCCTGCCAGGATACAAGCACACACACACACACGCACACCAGTAGGGCACACATACACACACACACACACACATATGTACTATGGCGGACTTTAATTACCCTTCGCATGGCATCCTTGCGTCTCCGCTTCTCGTTGTCCTTCTTGGCCGGATTCATCTTGGCCCGCGTTATATAAGACTGCGCCACATCCTTCTCCTGCTTCTGCTCCAGCTCCATCTGCTGCTCCAGCTCCATGGTCCTGCTGGTCCGGCACAATTGGCAATCTCAGGTGTATATGCGGGAAACCGAATTAAAGTGCGCCGCGGCCAGGAACGGGAAAGATGCGGGAGATGGCCAAGTGTGATGCAGTGTCCGCAGGATTACCGCTTACATTTTATTAGCGATGAATTTGCAATTCGCTAAATTGTGCGACAACTATTGTTTTGTAAATTTTTTTTTGTTTTGTGAAAAAAGGTAAACAACTATCGATGTCCGCATCGATAGATATCGGTTATCGATAGCTTAGGGATGCAGCGTTTTAAAAAATTCAAGTTGCAAATTAATCGCAAGTTAATGTTTATAAAATGTGTTTAGTTTAGTACATTAAAATGGTAAATAATAATAATAATAATAATAATAATAATAATAATAATAATATTATTATTATAAAATACTCCTCATGGTATATCAGCAGAGGTCCGCCCGAATCGCCGCTACATGTATCCCGGGCCATCTCGGAACCCACACAGAGTTGGGTTCGCTCATCAAATCCACGCGGGAACTCCTCCAATTGCCGGGTCAAGAGTCTCGTGCATACCTACAGGATACCAAATAAATGCGGCGCCAGAGCACTATTCTAATTCAAATTACTCACCTTTTCTCCGTAGCGATCCAGCTTCACTTTGAGCAACTTGGCCGAGGGCTTCCCTGCCAAATCCATGCTGCCCCATCCTACGGCTATAAAAGTGTTTTTGGAACGATCATCCTGAAATGGCAGACAGGCGGGATGCTTATAAAGATCAAAGATCACGTCCTCATTCAGTTTAATCATTCCAATGTCGTGGTAAAACTCTGGATCCTCGTAATTCGGATGGATAATATATCCAGAAACATTGTAATCCTGGGGAGCAGCGTCGTCTAAGTACGTATCAAAGTCTAGTTCACCCAATCGCACCACATTCACGTCTCCTCTGAAATGTAGTAATTGTAAGCAACATTTTTAGATTTTATAGATTAAAATTTGTACTTTTCCGATTCCAGGCAGTGGGCAGCGGTAAGGACGAATCTCTCGCTAATTAAAACGCCGCCGCAGAACCAGTCGATGCCCAGATCTTGGCGACGTCCAAACGAGCCATGTGCGGAAATTCCCGAGCCTGGGCCGGATGACCACCTACAATGAAAGGCAAATAACTTCGACAATTGTCGATGACCCGGCTAAGAGTCGCGGCTCCGGGCAGGAATAATCCATAGTTGACAGTCTCATCAAACACGGTCTTCTTGTATCTCGTGCAAGCTGGAGAGGAAAGGGGTTAATAGAAGGAATGTTAATATATGATTTGGGAGAAATGTTTTAAGACTTAAAATGACGATGTCATAATACGCACTCACACCTAACTACATCCGGATGCTGGCCAAAAACACATGCCAGAAGAATGATCAAGAGGGTGGTGAGCAGAGACGGCCACATCTCTACGTTAAATCGGAGATCAACTGAGAGCTACACTCCCCGAGATCCAAGCCGCTCCAATCCGTTGCGAACGGGTTTCACTCCCGATCAGTTACTGATTGAACGATCTGTTGCCTCCCCACTAATCATACCAGCGGTTCATCGACGAAGGTTCAATCGGGTAAAAGCCAACAGAAATCCCCCGCTCTGCCAGTGGTTTCTTGGTAATCGTTTGGCCCGCTATAAAGGCGATTTGTTTACTCGCATATTAAAAGAATATGCTAATAATAACACGTTAATTAATGGAAGGGGCTGGTTGACTTGGTAAGGTTTTTTTAAATCATTGTTTTTACATTTATTTAGCCGGGTTGTTGTTAAAATGTATACATTGAAATTTACGGATATTCATCAAAAATTTATCCAAATCTAAATCTTTACGTCTTGGCCAGCTCCTGCTTGATCCAGTTGATGTAGAAGTGCACCCTCGTATACATGGCGGGCACATCGGGCGTGTCGCAACCCACTCCAAACGAGGTGATACCCATTACGTGGTACATGCAAGGAAATGTCTTGTGGTAGGTTAGCACTGGTCCGCCAGAGTCGCCGTTGCAGGTATCCTTGTGCTCAGATGACCCAATACAGATTTGCGTGGTGGCATTATATCCATTGGGCAGCTGCTCGTTTTTTTCCGCGGTAATCGAGCAGCGGGTGCCGTAGTTACTGAGCTTAACCTTCTGCAGCTTCTTGGTCTCCGCACCACGCCGAGGAACGAACTCTAGCTGCCCCCAGCCGATGGCGACGAAGGAAGGGTCTGATTTTCCGTCGCTAAACGGAAGGCATGCTGGATGCTTGTACTCGTTAAAGGATACAGTCCTGGTCAGCCTAATGATGGACAGGTCATTGTAAAGAGCTGGATAATCGAAGTCGGGATGCATCGTGTGGTCCTTAACGCTAAAGTCCTCGGGATCAGCGTCGTCGGTGTCAGTGCCAAACTCTAGTTCCCCGAGGCGGACGATATTAACAGAGCCCCTGCAATAAATTTGCATATAATAAATATATGATAATATATATTATCTGTATGCATACTCGTCGGCAAAGTGACAATGAGCTGCCGTCAGCACATGCCGATTGCTGATAAGAGTTCCTCCACAAAACCAAATCGTCTTGCCATCTTCATCGCGATGTCCCAGCCGGGCGGCGTGAGGAAACTCCTTGGGCGAGGCTGGTCCACCGCCAATTATAAGGGGTGCGTAGCTGGTGCACTTGTCCTCCGTCTTGTAGATAGGTGCAGATCCCTCTATTAGCAGACTGAACTCAGAGGTCTCATCCCAGACTTCGGTTTTGTATTCGGCGCAGGCTGTTAGGAGTAAATCTTAGAATTGATCGCCTAGAAGATAAATACAGACGCACTTCTTACTAGGTCCGGATCTTGGCAGGTCACCAGTTGAACAGATAGAACCACCACTGAGACTTCCAGCCAGAAATACATTTCAGCTTTCATCGTCTGCTTGCCTCTACGATTTGTTTGCTACTGACAGCGTTATCGGCGATGATCATAAAGCTCGTCTTACGAGAGGTTCGATTCGGTTTCGGGTTCTGAAGTGCATCGCAGGAGAGCCATTAAATACTGGGAAAGTTCGTGTATTTATTGATAAGAAATTGAATACTTAAAAATTATAGGGGCTTACACCATGAGTGCATATAAATTCAATGCTCACGACTTGAGCAAACCGAAGTTGAATACAAAAAAGCCAGTTTTCCGGTTTTAAAATATTTACTGCACTTGAAGGTCTTCAAAAGGTTACGAACTCACTGATATATGTATCTATATATAGAGGTACGAAAAACTATATATTTATATTTATTCAAAAATCAAACTAGGAAATAGAAAAACTGCTTTCTGCGGAATTAAAACCAGAAAATATTCTATGAAATTTGAGTTACGACTTAAGCACCCCAAACCGGTTTGGAAATTTAAAAAAAAATCTACGAAAATCTAAAGTATTTATTTTCTACATTTATATCTTTCTAAGAAAACAGAATTGGCTATTTAAGTAATTAAAAAATAAATGCAAAAATCCTTTGACTCTACGAGGTCTTCGCCAACTCTCTTTTAATCCAGTCCAGGTAGTAGTGGACTCTCGTATAGGCACTGGGTATATCGGGGGTGGAGCAACTGACTCCCGCCGAGGTGATGCCCATTACATGGTACATGCAGGTGTAGGTCTTGTGATAGGCCAGGGCCGGGCCACCAGAGTCTCCGTTGCAGGTGTCCTTGTTGTCCTTCGATCCGATGCACAGCTGAATGGTGGTGTTAAAGCCCTTGGGCAGCACATTGTTCGCTTCCGAGGTTTCTAGACACCTCTGCCCATAGCTCCGGAGCTGCACCTTCAGCAGCTTTTTGGACTCCTTCTTGGTAAACGCCCTTTGGCCCCAACCGATCGCAATGAAGGTTTCGTGCTGCTCGCCGTCGTCGAAGGGCAGGCAGGCTGGATGCTTATACAGGTTGAACTTCACCTCCCGATCGAGCCGCACCAAGCCGATGTCATGGTAGAGGGCGGGATCCCTATACTCTTCATGTTCGATAAGCCGGGCCACGCCAAAGTCCTCGGGCTCAGCGTCGTCCGTATCAGTGTCGAACTCAAGCTCACCCAAACGCACCACGTTGACCTCGCCGCTGCGGAAAGTGAGGGATTACATTATCAGATTGGAAGATTCTTCTCATATGTACGTACATCTCGGAATAGAAACAGTGGGCCGCTGTGAGCACCACGCGATTGCTGATCAAGGTGCCGCCACAGAACCATTTGATTTCATTATTGGCCATCCGGTGGCCCAGTCTCGCTGCATGGGGGAATTCCTTGGGTTCTGCCGGAGTGCCGTCCACTATCAGGGGTCGCGACCCACTGCAGGAGTCAAGCGTATTGTATATAATCGGGGCATTGGGGAAAAATGGGCTAATGGGAATGCTCTCCTCGAAAACTGTCTTCTTGAAAAGTGTGCAAGCTAGGGGATGTTTAAGAAATATTAATATTTTATTTTAATTCAATTATTTATTTATATTAAAATTAATAATAATTTTGTTTACCTCTCTCGGCGGCTGGATCCGGGTTCTGGGCGAGAACAAGGTTGCCGCAGCATAGCAGAAAAAGCGTTCCAAGCGAACGCATTGACATGATCTTAATTAGCTCTCGAACTGCAGTGGGAGGCGATCGGCCGGCAACTGATCGAATCGAAGCTGTTAATCAACTAGTTTTCAATTGCGCAGTTGAACTTGCCCGATAATCCCTCTTTCCTCCATCAGCTGATCAGATTCCCGTACACAGTAGAAGATAGAGATACGCATTAAAAACTGAGTAAATACATTTATGAGAGTTAAGCCTTTCCCTGAATCTCCCAGAAGATAAGATAAAATACATATACTCCATTTGAATTTCCCCAAAAAAAACCTTTTACACAATTAATTCTTAAATAAACTGTAACCTTATATGGGCTAACTTATCCAATGTATACTGTACAAGAATGAAGCATACCGGTTTTCATCACAAAAAATAGAATTCACCAAAAGTTGGTTGGCTTAACGTTTATGTATGTATATTATTGTATGTATTATATTGTACAATGTTTAACAAACTAAAGTCGAAAACTAAAACTAATTGAAGTGTATGCCCGCTGAGTTAAAGGCCATCAGAAGCCGCATGAAGTCGTCAATATCCATGCTTCTCGCACGATTGGTGGCCATGTCCAGTTCCTCCAAAATGCCAATAACTTTGTTTTGCATGTTGAAGTCATCTTCAACGGGCTGCGTGGAAAATAAGCAAATAAATTAATTGTCAATGCAAGTTTTCTACCGAAGAAAATATGAAATTGTACATATTTATGCAACAAAATAACTCGTAAAACGGGATTAATAAGTTAAGAGAAAGCTTTAGAGTTATACGCCTTTATCTATCAACAGCTTTTAGTGCAAACTCACCTCGTTTCTAAGCGAGCGATACAGCTTGTAGTTCTTCTCGAGCATCTCCAGCACGGAGGTTACCTTAAAGGTGGCTGCCAGCGTCTTGTTCTTGCGCAGAAAGGCGATACGCGTGAGGCCATCCCACTCGGTGAAGTTGACTGCCGGCGGCGGGTTCTTTGGCTCCAGGCGCACCACGCTCGACTCGACCTTTGGTGGCGGCTTGAAGTTGTTCTTGCCCACCTTCATCAGCATGTCGACGCGGGCCAGCAGCTGTGTGTTGATGCTTAGACGGCAGTAGAGCTTGTCGCCCGGCTTGGCCACCAATCGCTGGGCAAACTCGCGCTGGAACATGAGGACGGCGCATCGAAAGAGCGGGCGGTGGAGCAGCAGCTTGAATATCAGCGGCGAACTAATCTGGTACGGCACGTTGGCAATGCAGAGGTCGAAGAAGGGCAGTTCCGCCTTAAGGAAGTCGCCGATGAGCACCTGCAATTTTGGTTGCAGCGGCGTCGCCTGGACGCGCTTCTGCAGCTCGGCCGCCAGCCGAGTGTCAATTTCGCAGGCGATTACTTTCTTGGCACGCTCCAGCATCCGTACGGTCATGTTGCCGGTACCAGGACCGATTTCCAGCACTACATCCGTGGCGCGTAGGGCGGCCTTCTCCAGCATAGTGGTGATCACCAGCGGATTTTTCAGGATATGCTGGCCAAAGTCCTTGTTGAATACGATTCCTGGTCGGCATGGGAGCAATGATTACTTTTGGTTTATTGTTTCATGTACCAAATAAACTCACCCTGCTTCTGCACCTCCGTGTGGATGCGGGTTTTCTTTTCCGTTTTCACCTTTGGCATTTTGACTGGCACCTGCTTATTTCCTATAAACTTGTTAAAATTAAACAAATTATATATTGTTTTGAACTTCTTCTTCTTTTTGTGATGGCAACATGTGCGCTGTTAATCAGCAGCTGTTAGGGATGATAAATGTAGCCGATAACTTATCGGCTGTCATTATCGTCTCTGTTATTTACATCTGTAAACGAGCTGTTAAATGAAATTTTAAAACTTTTTGAATAAAACAGTTTTCAATTGTATAAACAAATTTTAGCATGGGGAGAGCTTTCCTTAATAAACCACTTGAAACATAAACACTGAAATATTTCTATGTTCTAAAATATGTTAACCCTTTATGGTTATGGTGTTTTTTAAGTATTTTTTTCTAAATATTTTTTTTTTAATGTTGCCCTCCATTTCGTTTCAAACTCTATTAAATGGAACCCTTTCCCTGTTTTTAGTTTGATTCAAACACAATTAGTTACATTTTTCATAGGTGTTACCTCTCTTTATTTAATAATTAGTTTTCACTTAATTTTATAAATCAATTTCTTGTTTTCAATTTTGCTTTCTTTGGTTATCCTTTGCACACATCTGCTTATACCATTTATTTAGTAGCTTCTTTAACATTCAATTCTGCCACTCCCTGCCTTCCTTGGTAAACATTCCTCTTTTATTTTTATTTTTTTATTTAATAGCTTTTTTACAACATATCAACTGTTGACTTTCGACTTTACCGTTACAGTTATTTATCTCTGGTTTAAACATAACTTAGACGTTACTTATGCATTTTCCTCTGTGTCTTAGTCTGGTTCTTCCTCAAGTTAAACTGCTGTGTGTTGTGCTTTTTGGTGTGTTTCTGAATACTCTGACTTCTCTTTTTGCTAATGATTAATTCGCTTGCAATGATCTGCGCAGCTCCTTCTAATAAAACCATATATGGTGTCTCAGTTGGCCGCGCTTAGTTTTGTACACCGCCGATCAATAATAAATAATTCAATATACTTCCTTAGTAGTTCGTGTGTGTAGTTGTTTGCCTTAGATCAGTTAACAATTTGTAGACAATGATTTCGGGGGCTTTTCCGTTTAATAAGTTCCATTTAAGTATCTCTAAGATGCGAAAGGTACGTGAAAAAGTTGCAGAGTGAGTGTTGCCTTGGTGAGAGCATGAGCCTGTGCGGCTCCAGAAAAAGTTTAGCTAAGCTGATCGAGTCGAGGAGTGAGTACGTTCAGAGCCCGGTCCAGGGACAGGACCTAGGACCTTTGGCAAGCGAAAGGGTCTGGGAATCGTTCAGCTTTTGCACATATGTATTTAGAGAGTGAGCTTATAGCTAACATTTGGTTGCACATTTGTCCTATAACTTTAACTTGTTTTTGTCAGGTTACGGTTACGCGATTTGTTATTCCCTTTTCTGTTTCCTCCTCCTCTGGCTCCTATTATAGTATATTTAATCCTGCACCTCCTCTATTAACTTTTGTCTGTTCTTTGTTCAACAACAACCAGTGGATTTGCCTACTATCTTGACACCTACACATTTCTTTTATCCCCCTTTTGGGCTTATCTTGTTGGCTGGATGCGTTTTTCTGTTTTGTTTTGTTTGGATTTTTTTTATTTTATTTATATTTTTTAATTGAATACGCGCCTTTATCCAGCCTGGCAACGGCCTCGATCGACTGGCGATTTGAGCGCATTGTTTAAAAAATTATTAATAGCTTTTAACATTTTGCCTATACTTCCATCCTTCTTCATCATCTCCTTGTTTACTCCTTTGTTTGTTATTTTTGCTTTGGTAAAATGCGTTCTTGAAAATACTTTGGGTTAACATTTAAATTGTAAGTGGGTAACTAGCGCTTACGCCGGGTTGTTTTTGCTATTTCACAAATATTATTAGACACTGGGCTCCTCTTTATTACATACAAATGTGTGTTTATGCGCTTGCCTTTGCCTTACATTTCCTCTGTTTTTTTTTTTTTTTGTTTATTTTCTCTTTTAGTTAACAACGCTGCTTAATAGTTAATAAATCTTTTGTTATCCTTGCTTTCTCTGCTATTCCATCGATTTATTATTAAATATATACTTTTATGATCTCTCTTCTAGCGAACGATGGAAATCAAAACGGAAAACACACGAAATTAGGCGTAGAGTAAATAATAGTAGTAATAGTAATAACATTTAAATGATACTGATCCAATTTCGATGCGGTATGCTAAAAACTTGCCTCGGGTTAGTTCAAATAGAATATTTAGCTTTGAGTCTTTGGCTTTCAAAATCAACACATAATAAACGCGAATATTTGTTTTTCTTATTCATCTTATGCCACATAATTTCATATATAATTTGTTGACGGATTTCCCTCATTACGCTAAGTGTTTTGTTTTGTTTTGCTGTGGGTGTGTGTGTGTGTAATATATATATATATATGCCTTTAGTTTCACAATTTATATATATGGTTCATATATATTATATATATTGTATATATAATATGCTTGTTCTTCTGGCTCCTCATCCTCCTCTTACAGACTAAACACATTGGTTGTTTGGGTTGTATTCATAATTTGTTTTTAGCATAAATTAATGTGAATTTTTATAGACATTCTCTTTGTAGGTTTTTAGCATTTATTTCTATGATTAGTTTAGCTATACTTTTTTCTCTTTGCTGGTAAATTGTATGCGCTTTGTATTAGAGGGATTTTTGGCTTGATTTTCGCTTTGTTTTCTTTTCATTTCGTTTTTATAAATATTTATGTATAACAATAAGGTAATAATTTTAAAATAATATCGCTTTAATACTTGAGAAGGAAGTTGTGCAAGATTTCAAACTCGAAATTAAATGTTGTGTACTTTGTGTGTGTGGTAGAGACGGCACATTGCGGCTATTGTGTTTAGAAATTCCCTTGAGATTCGCTTGGAGCAAGTGCCTGGCTCTCTGCCTGGATGCTGTGAGTGCGAAACTTGAGATTCGGCACATCGATCGAACAATCAATAAATAACTAATAACAAAATGCACTCAGCCACTGGGCATTGACTAGATGGGTGTGGTTGTGTGTGCGTGGGACATCTTTTTTGTTGGCAAACAACATAAATAAATTCAAACAGGAATAGGCTAGGTTGCTGGGTGAAACATCGATGATTTAAAACCAAGTTTTTCGATTGATTTTGCGGATTTTTCGGTACAATGTGCGTTGTCCTATTGGTGTGCGCTTTAAATCAAGTCGAAGATTAGCAGTTCCACGACAATTGGCACTGGTAGTTGGATGTGGGAGGACAGGGGACTGGGGGGACAACGACTACGAGTGGACTACAACAGAAACAGACAACAATGAAGCGTTCACCGGGGTGTAGTTAAATGAAAATGATAACGATAAACAATAGACGATTAACTAGATTGTGCTGGGAGGATGCGCAAGGCGCCGATCGACCGGACATGTCCGGATGACGACGATTCGGAGCGATCTGCGTTGGGCCAGCTAACCGGGATACCCAGTCTCATCCAGCCCATCCAAGTGAACATGGTGAACATGAACTGCGATCGTTGGGGTGGGGGGGCCTTCTTAGTAGACTTTGCGCTCCGGTCCGAATTTTGGATTCACGAATGAGAAGCCCGCAAACTCATCCTGGTTGATGCAGCGAATGACCTCGTTACCGATAGGTGTCAGCACCGGATCCTCCTTGGTGAACTCAGCATCAAAGTTGTTGGCATCGCGTGGATTTTTCTGCAATTAAAAAAAGTTATTTACGAAAAATGCTCAATGAAATCATGGAAATAACGGGGACTGACCATTTTCGGTCGGAATGGTGGCTTTATGTTGCGCTTCTCGAGCTCCTTCCAGTCCAGCTTGTTGAAAAATGGATGCTTGCGTATCTCGTTCTCGTCGCCAGTGCAGCCCAGTCGCTGCTCTGGGTTTTTGGTAAGAAAACCTGCAGGAATTAAATGATATTAAGTTAAGACATTATTCACATTGATTGTTTTAAGGGATAGACTTACCCTTTAGAATGGAGACGGCCTCGCGTGATAGCCAAACTGGGTATAGGACGTCGTCGTGCATAATCGAATCGAAGAGCTCGTCCTCGTTATCGGCCTCGAACGGAGGCTGGCCGGCCATCATCTCGTACATGAGGACGCCGAGCGCCCACCAATCGACGGAGGCGCCATACTCCTGCTCCTTGAGGATCTCCGGGGCGATGTAGTCGGGCGTGCCGCAGAAGGTGGTGGTCAGCATGCCGTTCATGATGCCCTCCTTGCACATACCAAAGTCAGCCAGCTTGCAGTGGCCCTCCTGGTCGAGCAGGATGTTGTCCAGCTTCAGGTCGCGGTAGATGACGCCATGAGTGTGGAGGAACTGCAATGCCAGGGTAACCTCCGCCGCGTAAAAGGCCGCCCGGGCGGCCTCGAAGCGTCGCGCCTTCTGTATCTGGAACATCAGGTCACCGCCATTGACGTACTCCATCACGAAGAAGAGGCGGTCCGGGGTCTGGAAACAGGAATGTAACGCAGTCAGGAAGGGATGGTTGGCGGCCAGCGCCAGGATGCGCTTCTCCGTCATGGTGCAGTCCACGTCGTCGTCCTGGATGATGGCGTCCTTCTTGAGCACCTTTATGGCATAGATCTCGTCGGTGCCCTTCTTCTCGGCGAGCATCACCTTGCCAAAGGATCCCTTGCCGAGCACCTTGATGAAGTTAAAATCGAGCAAGGAGCACTTGCCGGGCCGAGTCTCCCCAGTGGCCCCACCGCCGCCGGCACCGCCCACGACTAGGCTCATGCAGCTGCTGCTATTGTAGCCGCTGGTCAGCGTCGTAGTGGAGGTGGCCAGGCTGTCCGCCGAGAGCGTGCCACTGCGGAAGGACTGCCCGGGAGCGCCGTCGCCGTCGGGTCCCAAGGAGGCACCATAGTTGTCCTCGCCGCCCTGCTGGTTCAAGTACTTGGAGCGGCGCGGCTGCTGCTTGTCCGGCGAGATCCCCAGCGAGCTAAGGATCTCGGCCATCTGCTTGGTATTGATGCCGCACGTATTGGCCACGTTCTTCTGACACCGCTTGTGCACGTTCATCCCGCAGGTCTCGCACTGCAATCCCTGCTTGATCAGGCCATAGAGCAGCGATCCGCAGTGGTCGCAGAAGGTGAACCTCTTGTAGCTGTGCACCACAAAACGGTGCGGTACATTCACGTTAAAGCGCTGGCCCGCCGGCACCACCTCCACTTTGGTTTGCTGCGGACACAACTGAGTTAGCTAGATCGTGGAGCTCTTGGTTATGCCGCATGACTCACCTCATCTCGCATGCCCGGACACTTGGACACCACGGACAAATGGCATTTTTTATGTACAACTAACGTGCAGACTAGAAGTGTGTTTGGGGGAGAGAAATCAAAGGCGACATATTAATATCCAGAACTCTGCACTAAACGCTTATGCAATTTTTCGATGGCAGAGGCAGAGAGTGCAGGGCAAAAAATCCAAAACTCTAAAGGACAAATATGCGCTCGGAAACAGGTTGCCTGAAAGGTTTTTAGCGTAACGTTTGTAATAAATGACATTTAAGACATGCTAAAAGTATCTTTCTATTAATTGACAAGAAAAATAATCAGTTGTGTCACAGAAAATGTAATTGAAAATGTGTCAAAAGTATGCTACAAAATAATTTTCAGTCAATCAATTATATTATACATTTATATATTATTTCTAAGAAATTCTACAAGTGTACTTAATTTTTCCACAAATTCGTATATCAATTTTTCGATTAAATCCAATTTGGAGAAAATATATCAAAGTATCTCATAATTGATATAAATCGATTTTATTTCCAGCTGAAGTGTATGACTTTATTGCATAGATCCGTTAAGATACTATCTCAAACTATGTTGATTTCTGTGGCACCTGTTATATATATATTATTTTACATTTTATAAGCATTAAAAATACAAAAAGAACAACAATTTCTGTATAAAAACTATTAATTGTAATCACTTTGATAATCGTTTTTTTCTATATCTCAAATCCACAGAGTTTTAGGTGACATATTTGTGTAATTTATAGCCTGGGCAACATTTTTCCGAGCCTACACTCTACAGTCTAGAGACATACGAATATGTATATATATTTACAGGATTTCGTTTAACTCAAGCTCGTTGAAACATTCAGGGTTAGACACAAAGTGGCTCAATCGTGGCATTCAATAGTTTCTTTTGGATCTTCTCTCGGATCTCCTTGAATACCACGATTGAGCTTAAGAAATTAGTTGAGAAACTTGTCGACGACCGTTTCTTGTTGTGCAGTGTGTGATTATACACATATATTTTGTATGTTGGTCAGTGGAGTTAAGTTGTGTGCTCGTTGTCTGTGCTCTAATTAGTGTTTCGGTGTACACAAGGTTTTAATCACAACATTTAAACGATGCATCGTGCCAGATATATGTATATTGAAACCAAAGAAGAAAAGAGAGAATGCACAGAATGAAGCCGAAAAGCCATTTTCTGTGGCTACAAAGAGTAAAAGGTAATTAAAACTATTGCAAGTAGTAGATTTTCTTAGTTGGACAAGACTTTTAGAAAGATTAAAGTCCACTCACTGCTCTTCCATGAACTAACAGAGATACTTAATATCAGCTTAATATATTTAAAGTTTTAGTTACATTTAATCCCCCCTAATAGGCATGCACAATAATGTAAGTCGACATAATACAGAGTGTATTGAGATGATACAGACGGACAAACAAAGAAACCTTAATGAAATGACATTGTTTGGTAATTCTAAGAGACTTGCATTGGATTACACCCACAGGACCCTTTCCGATGATCTAATTAGTAGTCTTCATTCCTTCCGCATAAGTGAGATACAAAAATGCAATGTGATGGGGACAGGACCAGATCGATTAGTGGTGCAATTGGGGGACAGGACACCGGAGTGTTGTCCTGTTCCGAGCGAAGCATGACTCAAGCCGTGGGTGATGCATTGATGCATTGGACAATGCCAAACGAACTCTGCACTAATGTAGAGGGGTTGATTCCGTTTCGATAAAAAATAATCAAGGAAACCCCAAAATGGCAACAACAACAACAACGACAACAGCAAACAACGAATAACGAACAACGAACGAACGTAACAAGCAAATGCAAAGTGATATGGTTTTTGGATTGAATATAGCTTTAGAGGGGGGCGCTCTTCCTGGAGGGAGCTCCCCCTAGAAGCGCCAGGGCTAAAGCTGCCCTGGTTGCTCCTTTCTTGTTCAGTCTGAAGCGAACACACATACCTTGACATTGATAGCCTTGTTTACCAATTCCCCTGCAAAAAGGCAAGAAATTCCATGGCTATTGTATGTATTTATATTTTTTGGGTAACTGAATGATTGGTGTGTTGGTTGTGTGTGTGTGTGTGAGTGTGTTTTTTGATGGATGAGAACCTGAAGCCCCGTGAGAAACCAAGCATGAGGCCGAGCTGATCGTGAACCCGATGACCCCGCGACCCGCCAGTCAAGCTGTAGCCCCAAAAAGGAAACCACCAAGTGTTAATGCCGATGTGAAACCAAGGAAATTAAAACGCTAATAGAGTGAGCCTCCCAAAAAAAAGAAGATGATGTTGTGGAGCCGAGAGAAGATGAGTGAATAAAGGATAGAGTGGTACATTAAGAACATACATATAGAGGTAAAGAGATCAACCCAAGTAGAATAAAATCAAAAGTAGTTCAGATGGTGAGCGGTGTTGTGTGTGTGTAAATCAAGTCCCGAAAATAAATGCATGTTCAGATTAATCACTGCAGAAATACAACTTAAAGATGTACGGAGGAGATGTTGTCAGCCCGGGACTGTACGATTATGTGTGCTGTGTGCTCCACTTACCAGATAAACTCGCGGCAATGCGAACAGAAGGTGGGTTGACGCAAAAACGTTGCCATGAACTTGTGCCCATTCACCTGGTTTTGGGAAAATACACAGGTTAATTAGTAAAATGAGAGGAGATTATAGGCCTCAGAACCATAGAAATCAATAATAATATTCAAAGCTATTGATTTCATAGGTCCATTATCCTTAGACAACGCCACTAACCTGATGCACACGACGACGCATGGCACCGCGACGCCGATTGAAGCCGGCGCGCTCTTTGAACTCCTTGTTGACGGCCACGGTGTGCTCCACCTCGGCCTCGGCTTTGGCTTGTTCTAAATTTTACAACAAATAAGTTAAAGTTTACGATAAATAAAAATAAATGAATTTCAGATACCATTGCGATTCTTTAGCTCAATTATGACGTGGATCTTGCCCTGGGGCTCCAAGTTAACCTGCATGAATACAGAAAATAGGATTATTGTTTCCAAAAAACATAAATAAAAGCCATAACATACCCATAGATCCTGCACAGCCGTCTCGCTCTGCATGAGGTCCTCGAAGGAGATTATGCAGTTGGCCACGAAATCGTCTGGCGGCAGAGCGGCATCGTGAAAGACGGTCAAATTAATGTTGCTGACATTGGTAACGTCATGGACGAACTGCTCGTTCCAAACAGGATCAAATGTCTTTGGCCGTGTGGTGGCTCGATCTAAAAGTTATAAATTAAATGTTTTATTTATTATAAATCTCCAGGATTTTTATGGCAGGACCTACCAAAGTGACTCTCGTCAACATCTATGGACACATAGGGATCGATTAGCTGCTCGTCGGCTAGCTTGCCAAAGGTGAGGTTGTGGCGCTTCTGGAAGTCTGTGGGCCGCAGGCCACTCGCCTCGCACACCTTAATCTGCAGCTTGCCCGTAAACATGGTTGTCTTTAAAGACGGTTGAATTGAGTCCGAGTCCGAGTTTGCTTCCGTATCCTTTCCGCCTGCTCCTGCCGCTCCTCGGTCCTGCGTGCGATGTCCGTGTGTGTGCTGGGAGCAGCGGTCTCACCACTCGACTGTGGTTGTCCAAGTGCTGTCGTTGGTGATCTGATCTGCTCTGCTAGTGATCTGTGGGGGAAACAAGATCAGACGGGGGGGGATAAGGTCGAGTGGCGTTCGCAACTTTCTCTGTGGGCCAATGTTAGTGTAGGTCATTGACACTCATGAATGGCTTGTGCCGTGCACTCGATTCATTCTCAAGGTCGCCGCCTGCTCCTCGCTTCAATGGAATTTAGGTACATACAGATATCTATCTACATACATATGCGGCCATAATAATAGTTGAGGAGGCTTTTTTTATATACATTTTTATAATTTTGAAATTTCTCTATAGGTAGTTCTTTATGGTTTTAAAATATAAAGTACAAAATCATGCAGCATATTTTTAGACAGCACTTTTAAACGGATTTAAATCACTAAAAATGACTAAAAAGTCTGAAAAAATGTATATTTTAAATATTTAAATGTTCAAATACTATAATCTTGGCCGCCGCTGTATGTGTGAGTGTACATATGTATGTGTGTGGGCACTCGGACTCGGATGGGGGAAATTAGGCAATCGCTCAAACGACAACAGTCCGTGAAACGGAAAATCGAAAATAGTACACGACCATCATCATTATCATCATCATTATATTGTGCCTGTGGTAATATTTTTCTGGCGCATAAATCATTCCAAGGAGTGCAACTTTGTTAATTTCGCAATTTTCAGTGAGAGATCGCCTGTTGTGGAAATACGCACACACACATTCACCACCACTTGGGAATTCCTCTAATTAGCAAACAAGGAATTTGTTTTCTCTGATTGGCAACATTTTGTTTGGTGGGGAACACAAGTACACATAAGTGATTGGTCCATTTTTTACAACCTCAAGTGCTTTCATTGTCATTTAGATTTGATTACATATCATAATGCCTTTGCTCGCTCACTTTTTTTATGCAAATTTTTTGTGTGCATGTATGGTTTATACATACACACAAACACGCGCAGCTTTTTCCACAGATAAAACAACAAAGAAAGAATAACAAGAAATGTTCTAGCTTCCTCCCACTCGCACCTCAGCGCGCCAGTCACCAATACACTCGCGAATCACTCCACCACCCCCTGGCGATCCAATAAGAAACACCTGACGAAACGCGAGAAAATGCGTGCATTTAACTAAACGTTTTTGGGCAAGAACGTCCAATTGGAAAATTGTAATTTTCTAATTGGTGAAAACGAAGACCTTCCAGCCTCCAGGGTTGCCGTACCGACTAATGAGTGCAGTGAGCGAAAGCCAGTGTTGGTAATCAGTTTTACACATTTTCTCTTTTTGTCACTCTGATACGCTCTCGATTTCGCACTCTCTCTCTCTCTCGCACTCTCTGGCTCTCTCTATTGTTGGTACAAATATAGAGAAAAAATGTTTGAGGCGCGCAGAATCTGCTATTTGTGCGAAAAAATTAAGGATGCCTTGGCACTAGAACACACACACACACACACACACACTCGCTCGACATATGTATGTATAACGCACACAATTACACGCACCCTGTTTGCACAGCGTTTTAAATTGATTGGTTTCCCAAGGAATTTGCCTTTGGTTTCCGACGAATTCGAAATATTTCACAAGATCACAGTTTCCAGCATTTTCCGTTGCATTGCTGGCAATTTATTGTTGGCTTTGAATCGAAATCGCGTATTACTATTGATAAAAATGTTCACGCCAATTTTTATTGGAAAAATGTTGGGGATGTGCAACTTGAGCGATGTATCGTTTGGGGCCAGTGTTGCGAGTTAAGCTTATTTTAGGCTAGATCTAGCAAATTTTGAAAAAGCTTATGAAATTGGCAACTAGCTTAAATCCAACAAATTCTAGCAATAACTGCATTCGTAACAACAACAATTTATTTTATAGGACAAATAGCTAAGATATATGATTGTTCTTTTTTCGCCGATAAAGTGTTCAAATGCTTTTGTTTTGCGTATTGGTTTTAGTAATTTATAGCTTATTCGAGTGTTCATCACTTGCAAAACTGTAACAGACCAAGGTTGGTACAGAAAAAAAACAAAAAGTGTGACCTTTACTAAGTTGTAAAATTATTTAATTTTAAATTTAACAACATTACATGTTGAAAAACTGAAAGTATATGAAAAAATGTAAACCAAATAATAGGTGTGCATTTATTTTTACCATAAATCTTTCACTTTCCAACACTGGCAGTAGAAGAAGAAGAGGACAAAGAGGGCTATTTGCAAATTGTAAATAAATAAAATCAGCCAAAATGAGTTCGGGGGCCATGCGCACACCCGTCTCGCAGATCCTCCAAAGCAAGCACGACCAGGATGCCGAAGAGGAGCCCAAGAAGAAGTCCCGCGAGGACTGGCGCAAGGCCAAGGAGCTGGAGGAGGCTCGAAAGGCAGGCACAGCCCCGGCCGCCGTGGATGAAGAGGGTCGCGATATAAATCCACACATCCCGCAGTATATATCGAATGCTCCGTGGTATTACGGCTCCCAAGGGCCCACGCTCAAGCATCAGAGACCGCAGCACGAGGACGAGCAGGGCCAGCTGGACAAGCGGGCGCCCAAGGGTCTGGACACCACGCGCATCGTCACCAAGTTCCGGAAGGGCGCCTGCGAGAACTGTGGGGCCGTCACGCACAAGCGCAAGGATTGCCTGGAGAGACCTCGCAAAGTGCAGGCCAAGTATGCCGAATCCATTGTGGTCCATGATGAGCACCTGGTCAACGAGGCGGCGGTCAACTATGATGAGAAGCGCGATCGCTGGAGCAGCTACGATCCGGCGAACCACAGAGAGATCATCGAGGAGTACGAGAAGGTAGAGGAGGCTAAGCGGCAGCTTAAGGCCGAAAAGCTAAAAAACGGTAAGCAAACATATATCTTCACAAATTAATGTATAAATTCTTATAATTTCTGCCCCTCTACAGATCCCGATGCCGAGATTTCCGATGAAGACGGCAACGAGGACAAGTATGTGGACGAAGTGGACATGCCGGGCACAAAAGTGGACTCCAAACAGCGCATCACTGTGCGTAACTTGCGTATCCGCGAAGACACAGCCAAATACCTCAGGAATTTAGACCCGAACTCTGCGTACTACGATCCCAAAACGCGCTCCATGCGTGACAATCCCAATCCTGCAGTTCCGGAAGAAGAGTGAGTACCACAATGAGTCACAAAGTTAGAGTTTACTTACATTTAACTACCTTGCAGAGCTGAGTTTGCTGGCGAGAATTTCGTGCGCTTCTCGGGAGACACCACAGCTCAGGCCACCGCTCAGTTGTTCGCCTGGGAAGCCCATGGCAAGGGTGTGGATGTCCATCTACTGGCTGAACCCACCAAGTTAGAACTGCTCCAGAAAGAGTACGAGCAGAAAAAGGAGCAGTTCAAGTCGAGTGTAAGTCTTTGGTTTATTTTGTTGTTTCAAAAATGCTATAAAAAAATCCTCTTTACAGACCAAAACTCACATCGTGGAGAAATACGGGGGAGAGGAGCATTTGCAGGTGCCGCCCAAGTCGCTGCTGCTGGCTCAAACGGAGGAATACATCGAGTACTCTCGCAGCGGCAAGGTCATCAAGGGCGTGGAGAAACCGAAAGCCCGCAGCATATACGAGGAGGATGTATACATCAATAACCACACGACCGTGTGGGGCAGCTTCTGGAATGCCGGTCGCTGGGGCTACAAGTGCTGCAAGTCCTTCATCAAGAACTCTTACTGCGTGGGCATGCAGGAGCCAGAGGGTTATTCGGATCAGCATCCCACCTCCAGTTCCAGCTTAGCGGCTGCTGCTGTAGCAGCAGAGTCCACCGCTCAAGTGCATTTCAAAGTGCCGGAGGTGCCTTCGGAGAAGCCTGTCCTATCCGAAGTTGACTCTGTCCCAAGCTCAGAATCTTCATCGTCTTCGGAGGAGGAAGAGAAGCCGGAAAAGAAAAGGTCAAAGAAGAAATCCAAGAAGCGCGAGAAGAAAAAGAAGGCCAAGGAGCAGCGGAAACAGAAATCCAAGCACAGAGAAGCCAAGGAGAAGGAGAAGACAAAGACGAAGGAAAAGGCAAAGGAGATTCCCGATGAGATGGACGATCGCAAGCGGGCCTACAACAGCATGTACGACATTAAGGCGCCCACCGAGGACGAAATCGAGGAGTGGAAAAAGAAGCGGCCGCGTGCCGAAGATCCGATGATGCAGTTTATGTAGAAAAGGAAATAAAAATAATCTAGATTTTAAAGGAAACTTTAATCTTAAACAATTGCGTACTGCTCATAGAGCAACTCCCTGATTTTATAGTACTCCTCCGACAGACAGCCCTCCATGGCCACCTTGCCGGCATCCACACGCCGCAAGGCCAAAGTTCCATTGCTGCACCAAAGGACGCCGCCGGAGAACTCCGAGTTGATGTTGTTGCGCATGAGAATCTGCTTGAAGTCGGAGAGCTTTAGCTCGTTGATCAGCACCGAATTGTGGACGGGGATCTCGTCTTCCGCTAGCGTTTCCAGGGTCAATGTCTTGCCCTCTTGCACGTCCTGCTCAACTGTGACATCCATGGGAGCGTCGATGGCCTTGAGACGCATTCCCAGGCGGCCATCCACCCAGGCCACCTCCGCGTCTTTGCCCTTTTGAAACTGTAGCTGGGAGACGAGACCCTCGGTGAGGCGCACCTGGTAAATGTGGATCTCGGTGGTCACGTCGATGATCTCGCCCTTCTGCGGCGTGAAGACGCGGGCGCCGACATTCTGCTCACAATGCTTGGCCACCACCTGGGTGCCCTCCGCAGTGCCGTGGATGACAATCACCCGTCTCGGTCGCAACTGGGAGAGGATCTTCAGCATGGACTCACCGTCCGAGCGACCCTCGAAATCGATTCGCTGGATCTGGGCATTCACTTCGATGGTTTTGCGCTGATTTATCAGCTTGGTGGGCTTCTCTAGCAGCTGGACGTCGGTGTCTGCGACGGCTCCATTGGCCTGATGATCAGCTCCCATGCCCGGTTCCTCCTTCTTCACGTTCTCCTTGTTCTGCTCCTCCATGGGCACGAAGTCGTACCCGCCCGTGTCGGCGATGCGGTAGTCGTCGAGGTTGATGATCTCTCCGTACTCGTCGTACTTGATCTTTTCCTCGTGATAGGGAAACATAACATGATGGCGCTTGTTGGACTTGAAGAAGCCGGAATGGTGACGACCCTCTGGCCTGACCACAATGTCGTGCTTGCCCGTTATAACACTCATTTCAATGTCATCCTCGGACTCGGAGCTGCTTTCCTCCTCCACATCAGGCTTCACAATGAGGGGATTTAGTTTTTCGCCCTGCGTGCGTAGGTATTCATCTAGCTCGGCGCCTTCCAGCTCAACTCTTCGTCGGATGTCCAGCTCAATTTGCTTGCCAGGCGAGCAGTTCTCTACCAGTTCCATAGCCAGAGTTCCCGGCGAAGTACGTGTGGTAAGAATAATGCTATTGTTGGCATTGCTGGCCCACTGCACAAAAAGGTCTCTGGTGAATCCGCTCTCCAGGTCCGGCGTGCTGGCGAGCACAACTTTGGGTCCGGCAGGAAGTTTGTAGACGTCCGCCAGGGAGTGACACAGCTGGATGTGCTTGAACTGGAAGGGATTGTTTCGGGCACCCTCGAAGGCCTTCGTTAACTTGTCGCTCATCCACTCGATCTGCGACTTGGCGAACTCGATCACGTTGTAGCTGACATTGTTTAGGAGGGCCAGGGAGTAGGCCATCAGGCCGGACTCCTTGTTCTTCCACAGTTGGTCCAGCATGTGGGCCAGCTCTAGAACGCGTCCAGCGGTGTCCACAGCTATGAGGACATTGCCATTATTTCGCACCGTCTGCAGGATGTTGGTCATCAGCTTTTCATCGCGGGCACGTCTCCTGGCCTGCTGGTATTGTGCATTGTAAGCGTCGGTAATGAGGAGCGAGGGCCTCTGCAGCCTGTCCAGCTCACACCCGCTCAGGTGGCGTTCCTTTTTGTGGTTAAAATCAGTGGCATAGACGATGTCCTCCTCGCCCACCTTTACTATCTTCCAGATCGTGCCGCCGATCATGTGGCCAGCGTTTAAGGGAGTTATGGATATGCCATAGCCCTTGCCCTTCAGTGAAACCGTTTGGTTATACTTCAGTTGCGTGATCTTCTCGAAGGCCGTGTCCACGTCGTCCAGCGAGAAGAGATCAAAGTCGCCCATGTTGAAGTGCGACATGTACAGGTCATACATGAACATTTGTCCCATCTTGAACACGGGAATTGTGGCGTATATCGGGCAGTTAAGACCCAGTTTGCCCACCAGGTAAGGCAAGGCGCCCAGGTGATACGCATCCGGGTGGGACAGGAGCACGGCATCCAGGGTATGCACCTGCCTGTAATTATACAAAATTAGAAGTCGTTCCTTGAACTGCTTCGAATGTTTACCTTTTTAGCTCTTTGATAAAGTTGGCGTCGAACTTTTCATCCCATCCGCAGTCCAACAGAATTCGCACGTCGTCTATCTGGAGGATGTAGCACGGCGGAGACTCGTCCATCGCCCCGGATATCGTGTGCAGCTTGATAATGGACGTCATTTTAAGGGATTCAACTACTATTCAACTGCAGATTAACGCACATTAATTAAAAAACGATAAAATAATCTTCGAAGATAGAAGTGAAGGCCCAAATGACCGGCCCAGGGATGGAATACAACTTTGTGCTGGGGTTGCCAGACGGTTTTATCTGCAATAGCTGTTTGTTTATACAGTGAACACCAGTTTAAAGGAACTGTGCCTATTAAGGTATTTTTTTTTCTATTTTGAATAAATTGATTCGTTTTTTCCTGTAAAAATTATTGGTTAATACAACTTTGATTTCCTTTTCGTTTTTATTTTATTAAAATATGTTTTTGTTTTTATGTTATTGAACCTTTATTTTTCTTTATTTAACTCACTGAAATGTATATTTTTTATTTGGTTTAATTGAATTTAAACTAATTTTTGTTCTTAATTAATCGATGTTATTTTCTAAAAGATCGAAAAAAATCGATCTATTGAGAATCGAATAAAATATCTTTTTTATGGCGATCGGCAAGCCTTTCCCATTATCTTATCTTCTTTAAAGTTAATTTAATTATGGCCTTATAAGATACTCTTATCTGTTTATTGATTAGTAGACAAATATTTACATATTTAACGGAAACAGTGAAATCTTTTGACACGAACCATAGTATATTTCTGCTGTCCTTCAGCAGTAATGTACGGAAAGAGTTAATCTTAATTATTTATTTTTAATTCTTAGACACAGATTATTTTAGTAAAATTTAATGTTCAAGTTTAAGCTGAACATATAAAGTAGAATGCTCGTTATTAGAGGTTCTACTGTACAGACCCCTTTGGACGAACTGCTCTGGTTTGAGTGCATTGCACCCCTCGTCACCAGCTGAGTTTCGTCAGCCCGCCAGTCGCGACTTCTGCCGCCCCGAGGATGCGGAATTCCCTCAGATCCCGCTGAGATTCAAGTTCCTGCCAAACGATGTTCGTGCGGCTGTGGCACAGGAATTTCCACATCCATGACCTGCTCCTGGCCATTAGCCTGGTCACGCTCATTGTGTACCTTTCGCTGCCCTTCCGCTTCGCCTCGCACTATGACTACATCGAGGGATCGCAGATCGAGGGGGCTCTTGTGCCGCAGGTCACCCGGAATGTGTCCCTGCAGGAGGTTTTCGAGTGCACCTACTCGGAGATTATTGCGGCCAACAGGTTCGTCTACAACCTGGCCCACTACCACGAGGCGGTTCACAACGGGGGCGAGATCCGTCCCGGCGGCGAGTTCCGCCCGGAGCAGTGCCAGGCCCGCTACAGCACCGCCATCATTGTGCCGTACAGGCAACGGGAGGAGCAGCTGCACGCCTTCCTCACCTACATGCACAATTACCTGCGCCAGCAGCTGATCCACTATCGAATTTTCCTAGTCGAGCAGTACGACCACAAGCCCTTCAACCGGGCGATGCTCTTCAACATTGGTGCCCAGGTGGCGGCGGAGTACGGCTTCCCCTGTCTGATACTTTCCGACGTGGACCTGCTGCCTCTCAACTCGGGCCAGATGTACGCGTGTACGGAGAAACCACGGCACATGTGCTCCGCTTTGGATCACTGGCGTTTCCGACTGCCCTACCGCAGCCTCTTCGGTGGCGTTGTGGCCATCAATACCGTCCAGTTCCAGCAGATTAACGGAATGTCCAATCTGTATCACGGCTGGGGCGGCGAGGATGATGATCTCTACGAGCGGCTGAACGCTATGGGCATCGACATCTGCCGCTTTGCGATGGAGTTCAGCGAGTACACGATGCTGAAGCACAAGCCGGAGAAGCCCAACAAGAACCGGGTGGCCCTGCTCCGGGCCGCCGCTCTTCGGCAGCACTCGGATGGACTCAACTCGCTGGTCTACAAGGAGGTGGAGCGACGCATGCACAGTCTGTTTACGCACATTCTGGTGGAGACCTGAGGGCGCTGCCTGCTAGTATTTGTTATTTATGTAGCTTTAGACTTTGGATGCACTTAGCTTAGCAGCCGCCTTAGACAATGCGTTCCGAATCGATATCGTGATATCTCCACTCACTAGGCTAAGAAGCTGGGAACGCTGGACGAGAGGGTCGTAGAACATAATCTGTTTAAAGAAGTACAATGCGCAAATTATCTTCGATGTAAGAGGTATCGCCAAAGATATCAGGCATGTTAAGCACGCTCTGCCTCTGCTAATAATAAATGGATAAATGTGTGAAAAATAAATTGTTGTTTCAACTGTAAGAGAACTCCTCCAATACTTCATACTCTACGGTTCCCGGGTAAAAGTTTAAATCTTTAGTGTTGATTAGAGTTAACTATCGCAACAATCGAAGTCCATATGTAGTCATGATCGTTGGTTGGACTTTACCTTATCGTTGCCGCCGCCCATCTGGGTTTTAGTTAGAAAATTTTGTTAGAGAACATAACCATGGGCTTTCTGAGCTCCATAAGTAAAGCCGTTCTTTACTTTGGCTTATTCTTAGGAGCCATTTTCCTGCTTCCCGGATTACCGCCCAACACCACATTTCCCTTTAAAGAATATGAGTAAGTGGGTAATCTTCAACTTCATCTGATAATTTATAAATATTTGAACATTGTGCAGAATTACTCCACCAAGGGAACTAAAGGGAACACTAGAAACTAATGCTCACCTGGATGGCGCTAGACACCTGTGGCAGGATCGAGTCTTTGGACCAGAGTGCCTCATAGCTCGAGATGATGGCATCTACACGGGCATTCATGGCGGAGAAGTCATCAGGCTGAACAAAAAGGATTCCGTTGAGACTGTCACTAAGATAGGACAACCTTGTGGTAGAGAGAATTCTATCTTGAATGGTTTTTAGGTTATTAATGGAGTTTTATTTCACTCAGATTACATTTTCCAAGATACAGTGTGTGGCTACCCCGTGGGTTTGGCCTTTGACCCCCAGGGAAACAATATGGTTATTGCCGATGCCTACTATGGATTGTGGCAGGTGAACTTGGATACGAAACAGAAGACCATGTTGGTGTCTCCCGAGCAAGTACTTCCCGGCAAGAAAGTTAATCGGCCGGCAAAGCTGTTTAATTCAGTGGCAATCAGCCGGGAGGGTGACATTTACTGGACCGATTCCCTAACCGATGACTTTATGTTGGCTCCGTTCGCAAATCCTTCGGGTCGGTAAGTTCAATTTAAAGAAATCCTTCTGCTTTTAAGCAGTATTAATCCGATTTCTTTATAGTTTATTCCGGTACAATCGCAAGACGAACACCAACGAGATACTTCTGGATGAATTGGCCTTTGCCAACGGTATAGCTTTAAGTCCCCAGGAGGATTTCATTATCGTTTCGGAAACGACTGCAATGCGCCTGACTAAATATCATCTCAAGGGACCACGGACTGGTCAGAGCGAAGTCTTTGTGGACGGCCTGCCAGGCTTACCCGATAATCTTACGCCTGATGCCGAGGGAATATGGGTGCCTCTGGGCATTGCCGCAGATATCGAAAACCCCAATATGTTTGCCATTTTATCTCCTCATCCAAGGCTTCGGTTTTTCCTCGCCCGTCTCATGGCCCTAATGCAGCTTCCCTTTCGATATCTGAACCAAGTATATCCCAGCACTGTGGTGGATCGTCTGTTCCACGCGTTCACCGAGTGGGTCAATAGAAATTCTCCCAATAGGACGACCGTGGTGCGTGTGGACTGGAATGGAAACATAGTGAGATCCCTGCATGGTTTTGATAGATCCACTGCTGGAGTATCGCATGTCCTGGAGTACAAAGGTCACTTGTATATGGGATCACCATTCAATCAATACGTAATCCAAGTTGAATTACCCAAGACCAATGAGAAGGAGAAGAAAGTGGTTAGCTAGAAGTACGCAGAACCAAAAAACAAATTGTACTCCATCTTTAAAGTGTAACAAATACGGGGTTTGAGCACTTTTGAGGTGCCTTAAATTTATTTTGTCAATTATTTGTTTTTATACTTGAAAATCAGCTTTTAAAATTTGGAAAAATCTTTATGGATCTTTGAGATATGCTCTTTTGAATTAATTTTTCGTTATTTTTCAGATATATATTCAATTATTAAAGTTTTCAAAAACCGTATTTCCATCACTTTTAAGCTGAAATATTTTGAAAACCAGACAAATAGAAAATTTTCTAAGCCCAGATTTGAATTCAGCGCATCCATAATTATCAGAAAAGTATATTCCGATTCTTGGTAAACCATTCCATTTGATTTACAAAGTAAAAACCTTATTTGTGTTTGAAAACCACACTTGTGCAATTGTATTTTGTAATTTTATTAGTTAGTTGTTTTACAAATAATATTAAACAATGACAAAAAAGCTCAAGTTGTTTAAAATTGTAATGAATATTTTAAGATTAAATCAATCCTTTTATATAGCAAACAATAACCGATAAATATATTAAATAACATATTTTTATATATTAAATAAAACGTCTTTGCCTAAACGATTTGAATTATAATATGTATATAATTTGTAAAATATATATTTAAGTAAGGATCCATTGCACGAGTTTGCTCTTTTGTCTAGCTAACAATAATAATACATATTCTATTTTTAACTAAACGCATTCATTTCGTTTTGCGTTTGATATCGGTTGCGGAATGTGGCAACGAGCGAGGAGCCAAAGGACTCGTGTTAAAATCTACATAATATAATTTAAAACATTTCTAACAAACACGCAGCACACACACGTACAGGACAATCACACCTCGTACATATCAATTTATATATATATATTTATAGGTATGTATATATGTGAATATGGTAAGTCAAAGTCCCTGCGACAAAAACATGAGGTATAGACAAGTCTAAACAATATTTAGATATTTCCTTCAGCAGAAATTTCGAAGAACTTTCTATATTCTCCTGTTTTTGCCGCTTTATGGTTATTTTTTTCTTCTAAAATTCCGACGCAACCTGGTGTATATGGAGTTGGCCTTGCTATCAGATATATGGAATATGTGGTTATTAGCTACAACTGCGTTTAGTTCAAAAAGTTAAGTATGTCCTGCTGGGAGAGTGCATTGAGGTTCTGGTTATCTGTCGGCAGCAGGGGCTGTGTCTGGGGCTGGAGCGTTGGAGCCTGGCTGGGCTTGCCCAGCAGATGCTGCTGCTGTTGCTGCTGCTGATGTTGCTGGATGCTGTTCAGACTGTAGCCGGCTGGATAAATATAGTTAACTGTCGGTTGTTGCAGCGTGTACGTGTTGGCACCGTTCGTATTGTTTGGCTTGGCGGTCGCCGTGACACCTGTACCACCGCCAAAGGGATCCAGGTTGTCCAAGGAGGAGAAATTATTGTTACTGGCCTGTGGTGAGGCCAGTTGGTGGTTCATAACCAACGGATTGGCACTGTGCCAGCCATTATTGATCTGCATGGGTGCCGGTGCAGATGTGGGACTAGTAACTGCTGTCGCTCCGAGGCCAGTCAGGTTGCTTTGCATCATCGAGGAGAGAATGTCTGGCCTGCCAGCTGACTGCGCCGACATGGTGTTGTGCGTTATTCTGGAATATCGAAAGGGTTTCTTGAATCTCGTCTGGTATTTTCAGTTAACTTGATTGATGCGTACTTGAGCTGCTCTTTGGCTTTGACGGGTGCTATGGGAGCGGCATTTCCTGCCTTCGGTTGGCCCACAGTGAAGCCCGAGAACATGTCATCGTTGATCTTGTTGCCATTGTTGGCTCCACCAGTGGGCGAGAGGGCAGAACTGGTGTCCAGCTCATTGGCCAATATTTCGGAAGCATCTTTGGGTCTGATTCAAGGTAGACCGAATGAATTTTTAAATGTAATTCTAATAATAAAAACGATCTTACTTATTGTCTCTCTGAATGGTGGACAGTTGCTGCAACTTCTCGCGCTGCTCCTGCTCCACCCGGCCGAGCATTTCCTTGATGAGGCCTATGATCGTATTGAATTGAGCTATAGTCAGGCCGTTCTCGACACTTAAGGGCACTAGGTAGGGAATGCATTTATGTGCCATCACATCCTTGGTTATGCCCAGCTTGGTGTTGGTCATAGCAATTTTGTAGATTCCTTCAAGAAGAAATAGAATGAAAAATAATTATAAACTAACCTTTTTTTCACTCACCTATAATGCCCATGATGATGGCTGGCTCTCGGCTCTGAATCTGCTGCAGAAAGGGCAGGATCTCATCTAGCACCAACCACTTGTCCAGGTTCTCCAACAGCTTTCCAATGGATATCAGGCAGTTGACCTTCACCGACACATTGCTGCTCTGCAGGCACAGTTTCTTGATGCGCGGCAGAACCGAGTTCTTCATGGCGTTGTAGTCGATCAGGGTGGAGAAGGTGGGTAGCACCGCTAGGCAGAGATCCTGAATCTGGGGCATATCGCACTCCAGGGAGCGATACAGTAGCGGCAGCACACTCTGCTTGACCTCTTCGGCGGGCGTTAGCTTCAATAAAAGATCCATCTTTTGCATGAAAATCAACAGAATCTGTATGGGATCCGTTAGCTTGAAGATGGGCTTCAGATGCGGCAGGATGTGGTCGCAGTACTCTCGCTGGCTGCTCATTTCTGCGATAAGCAGCACATTTGGCAGCACAAAGGGGATCATCGGCGAGTTAACAAACTCTTTGACCAGGTAAGGAAGGATCGAGTGGAGATTAACACGGTGCGGCAGCGTCGGAATGATCTGGGGCAGTCCCTTGTAGAACTTGGATTTCTGCAGATTGTCCCACTGATACAGCGAGTCCAAATAGCTAAGAGTCTTAACGCCCACATCCTGGAAGTAGGCGATCTGCTTGAGCTCGTGCAGCTTTGGCCGCAGACCTGCACTGGGATGCAGTAGCGCCTTGAGGCTCTCGGTTAACTCGCCGGGAACCGCGTTCATGGGTGGATATTTCCGCTGGTTGAGATCGTTGGCATAGCGCCGAAAGCCACTGTAATCGCTCCCAAACATCTTGAGCGGCTTGCCGGAATATATGGTAAAGATGAGCACGCCTGCGGGTGTTTTAAATACGTAATTAAATGGGATTCACTTAAGGATTTCCATGCCCTTACTCACCCAACGAGAAGAGATCACTGTCGGGAGTGTTGATACTATTCAAGGCCACCTCCGGAGCCGTATACTCCAGGCTGGGCTGCGCCAGAACATGCAACGAGGTAGTGTACTCCCGGAAGGGCCAGTTCGGCGTTCCGTCCGTCGCTGGCTGGTTGGCGATGCAAAAGTCAAATCCAAATAGCTTCCAGCTGCGGTTCTTGTTAATCACGATAGTCTCGGCGGATATGTTGCGGTGCACGATCTTGGCGTCTTGGTGGAGGAACTGCAGGCCATCGAACAGCTGCAGCAGGCCATGACGGATCTCCACGTCGTACAGCTTCTTCTCAGAGCGCACATTGTCGCCAACGACATTCGCCAGCGAGGCGAACACGGGCTCCGTGGCAAAGGCCAGAGAGTCTCGGCTCTCCTCCAGCGGATGCTGCACAGTGAGCACATGTGGATGACGGATTTTGGTCAACTGTTGCACGCCCCTGCGCAGCGTTTCCAGCATGGTTTCCCTGTCATCCTTGGACCAACGCTCAAGGGATTTCTTCTCGAAAACGAACACGGACACCTCTTGCTTGGTGCTCTTCTTGTAGCCATTGTACACCTTCCACATGAGACCTGTTCGGTGAGATTAAAGCGACGACATTAGTCACAATATGTTTGGGGTACCACTCAGGAGGACTCACCCACTCCGGCGGTGCACACCTGTTCCAGCACCTCATACTCCCGAGTAACGTTATTTCCGGGCAGTACGCCGGACAGAGTGGACACCGTCTGCACGGCTGTCGAATAAAATTTGTTTATCATGTCCATGCTGGCTGCGAATTTGCAGAAACTGCGGCCTACAAGTTTGTGCAAAATTCTTATTGTTATTAATCAATAGCTTCGATATTACTCGCGATAGTATCGTTAATAGTGCTGGCAAAACCTCGGAGCCCTATCGATACTATCGATAGTTTTCGCCGAAATTTGAGCGAAAATCAGTTTGAATTCACGCGCCCAGCTCCGATAAGTTATCGGAAACGCTTTGCGAAAAGTCTGGCAACGCGGGTACACTGAACAAAAATATTTATTCAATGATACTTGCATATATAGCTCTACTAGTTAGAAAATAACAAAGTGTGTTATTGGGAAATACACAAAATTAAAAAAGAACGAGTTTAATTACAAAATTTGAATTGCCGGAAAAGTTACATTATTATTAAACTTAATGTACACAAAATTGAATTTAATTAAAAAAGTCTATTACAAAATTGGAATAATGTGTAAATATTATATATTTTTATAAAGAAAACTCTCGCTTATATCTACAACTCTATATTAGTAAACTAAAAAAAAAAAAACATTTAGTTAATTTCAATAACTAAAAAATAACAACAAAAAGCAATAAAGTCTTAATAATAATATAAAACTATACTTTTTTTTAGTGCGTAGCTAAATGGATATATTTTTGTTGGTTCAGATAGCAACCTTGCTTTTGTTTATTGCTGTGCAAACGGAATGCGAATTTAAAATTAGCGTAATTGGTAATTATTTTTGGATTGTTGGGTTCAAATCGATTACGATTTGCACTCGCGACGAAACTTCTCCTGGTGGTCTCAAAACAAGCAAACAAATTTAATAATCGCATTTGTATTCCTCAGATAAGAGACATTTTTGTCGTTCAAACCGAGGATGAAATCGAACATTTTTAGGCGTGATTGAATTCCACACATTATGGGGATTTTTTTGCTTCTAATTTTCAAAGTTATTGTAGGAGGAAAATATATCAAAATTATATAGATCAAATCTAAGGATTTTGAAATCAGATATTATTAAATATTTTTAACTGCAACAAAATGAAAAGTTTCCTATATTTAACCAATTGAATTGTAAATGAACTTTACTATATTTATTTAGTTGATTTATTTACTGTTCCTTAGATCCTCCACAAAGGTGAAGTAAACATTTGTGGCAGCTTGGGGCTTCTTGTTAAATAGCCAGTCGATCATCAGTAGATAATCCCCAGTGGGTATTGGGGTAGGTAGCTTCTCGGATCTCAAATAAAAGTCCTTAACCTGCTGCAGACCCTACAAGTGAGAAGCAGTATAACCAAAACTGATCAGTTAAAACTGACCAGTAAACTTACCACATAGGGACAGGAGTGATTGAGGGTCGAGTACTCCCGGAACAGTTCCCAAACGATGCGAATTAAGGCATTGTTTCGTCTCCTAAAAAACTGGCAGCCATCAAAATTCACACTATACAACCATGGCTTATAGCCATTAGCTTTCTTCATCAATTGGGCTTTTATAACCACGTCGTAGACCGGATGCAGCAGGGTGGCATTAACATTGAAGCAGACCTTATTGCGACTCACGGCTCGCAGGCGACAAAGACCAAACTCCACCCAGGATTTGTTGTAGGACTCGCACACCGCATTCGTCATCTTGAAGATCACAGCTCCCTGAAGGATCAATATAATAATGACTTTACGGAATAACCAAGAAATGAATTATGTTACACTGTGATACTGCTTTAAAAACAAAGCTAGCAGACAAATGAACAATACTCTCCCCATGGCTGCTAATAGAAAAGTGGGTAAATTTGTGTGAAATACGCTTATTTTTGACATCAAATTAGGTTCCCGTGTTGCCTCCAAATAATTATGACAAAATTGTTTATCTATATAGACATTAGCGGTTAATCAGGCGGTGAAATGACCCAAACGATGCCCCTCCCAGATAGCATTTTTAGCACTTTACAGTGCACTATGGGGTTTTTGACCAGTTTTTGTGGCATTAATTAATAACTCGGTCAGTTTTGGAGATATCGACATAAAACTTTACCAATCATCATTATTTGTCCCTAGGCACATATAGTATGAAAATCGTTCGGATCAGGAAACTATATCCTATAGCTCCCATAGAAACGATCAGGTAAATCTTAAGATAAATTAATGAAATTTAAGGAGCTTATATTTGATGCTATTTTAACACGATATAGCAATTTTGAACAAAATCGGACAACGCTTTCCCTAGGAACTAAAATAACCAAAATACCGGAATTCAGTGTTTCCCCATACAAACAGCTACCAAATTGGCGCTGAAAACAGTGAGGTTATCTGAGAAAATTTCAAATTGCAACAAAAGTGCGGAAAAGTGCACGATAAGACTAACTGCTTTTTGCTCAGAATTGACAACGCTACAACATACACTTGGACGCATTGAAAACTAATGCGAACTTCTATTTCAAAACTCTTCCCAAAGTTTAAATTTGTTTCTCAAAATTCAGCTTAAGGTGCATTTATAAAATGACAAAATGTCAGTATAAACACGCACAATTTAAACAATTAATACCTGTAAAATGTAGTTAAAACCTGTGAAATCAGTGTCCATTAGTTTTTTCCTTTGCAAATTGTGTCTTACACGAATAGTTTAATTTCAAAGATCACTTCGTAAAAATTACAAACTTAGCAGACGTGCTTTCGGATGCAACAGCTGACTTTACAGCTCTGTTGCTAACATATGCTGTTAAGTATTAACATTTTGAGTATGAGGCATAATAGTTCGATGTTTTGTTAATACAATCCCACTATTTTTTTTTAAATTAAAAAACTTTTAAAAAATGACTAAATGCCACAAAAAGTGGTCAAAAACCCCATAGTGCAGTGTTTGTATTCCCCGTAATAAATTTAAATGCGCTTTTATTTTGACTTTGGAAAATGCCACTAACTGCACCAGACCTATAAACCCTCCACTTTATTATCTATTCATACAGCCAGTCCCAGACAATGGGGTTTCGTCACTATAATTACCTTGGCTGAATATTTGGCGCCGACCTTTTGGGGCGGCCAGCGAGTAATTTTTATTTAAGAGCCTCTGAAATTTGGTCACAGTGCGTTAACTTTAACACACAACTGGCACTGCCTGGTCTGCACCTTGGCCTTCACAAGGGCCCACCATTTCCGTGTGTTCCCTTAAAGACCTATGACGGGTCCCGGATTCCAGGGCTATAGCCTTAGCCTTTGCTAATTGCTTGGATGCGTTTTTGCCACTGGATTGCCAATTGATGAAAGTCAAACATTATTAGATTCGGTAAACATACTATCGGGTAACACTCAACTTTGAAGTCAAAGTCGGAAGTCAAGTACACGCCTAGCTTGGGGGTTTGTTATGGAAAAATTCTCAGTTCGCTTCCCTCAATTCGAACATCAAATAGATTGATCGCGTGGTGTTTCCAAGTATGGATACTCGTTAGTCGTGAGGTATATTCTATGGAACGATATAGAAAATATAGAAATGGTTTCCCTAAAACTTTAAATAGATCTTGTATCTTTTCGTCTTGATTCGCGATTCTTATTTTGTCAACAAAGATATGTACGTATGCGTCATACGTAACTGCTATTTAGATGCTAACATCGAGTACGAAGTCGGATGCGTTGTTTACGTTCAGCTTATTTGCTTAATACCACCACTCTTTATGCCTTAAATGTATACTATTTCGCTGAGTAGTAAACCTATAAATAACTAACCATTATCTCTGGCATCTCGTCCGGCCATGCTAACCCATTGACGTCAGTATTGTCTACGATTTCCATTTAAAATTGAATTATTTCTAAACAGTGCACGAAGACATGAGTGACCGGGGGTATCTACTAGTCGAAAAGCTTGACTATTGTTTGTGCCTTCGTAGCCGTATTCATTAATGGCCTGACGACTGGCCAGTCAACACCTGTCAACGGGCCCCCAGTCATGTCCGTGTCGACGTCAGCCACTTGGTCTGCCCAGCTCCACCCCGCGTCGCAGTTCCCGATCAGCGTCTGGGCCACTTGAGATGCATTTGCTTATTCCCGAGTTAAATTAATAGATTTTTCTACTTTTTGCGCTCACCGCGCACACGAAACCCAATCAATAAAGCACTCGAATGCATTTAGCTGAATCGCTTTGGCTCTGGGCTGTGACTTTATCGCTCTTCCAGCTCCCAGCTGATGCTCCTCCTGTCCACTTTTCCACCCTGCCGCCATGAAGATGTTGCTCTATGCAATTCGGCGGGTTGTTGTTTGCACGATTTGTTGCCGTGGCCGACCGTCTTTGAACCCGCTCTGAATTTCAATGGATTTCGTTCAACCATGTCCATGTGTGCTGCAGCCAATGTGTTGGTAATTTTGCGTTCTACCGTGACTGATATTTTTATACCCTATTGGACGGAGCTTAGTTTATTTTCGCCAAGTTGTGAAATCCCAAAGAAAAATATATAGAGCTGTCCAAGCAATTAAGTATACAAATCAAATCTATATATGAGTAAGCTATGTGGAGAAGTATAGAGAACATAACAAGGAAAAGGGATCTACATTTGTGATTCTCTGTCATATGGTTAAGGATATAGTAAGATTATTATAAGGAACGTACTAAGGACTATAACAGGGATAATAGAGGAATGGGAATTGTAACTTAAAGTACTAAACATAAGATAGAAATTGACATAACAAGACAAAGTTTCAATATGGACATTAAAATGTTTATTTAATCAAATCTTTTTAATAAGAGCTTGTTGGTCTGGCTTTAAAAGTTTTATTTACAGATTTAAGCTATAATAATGATTTAAGATACTATAATTGTATTTTTTGTATGTACATCTTTAAGATTCAATCAAAATAATTTGGCATTTATCAAAATAAGTGCTCCCCAAGGGTATCCCAGGCATTGGAGTGGGTATTTGGATGGTCGGGCGGGGGTTTATATGTACTTGTATGCTACCGTGCGATGCGTTGCGTTGAGTCATAAAATAAATCAAGGAGCCCGACACCAGAGTCAATAGTAAATCACGGCAGAAGCGGCAAATTACCCGACACTAGCCCTCTCATCATCGAGAGGCCTCCTCCCCCCTCCGAATAATTATGCAGTGACGAGTCGATTCTAGACTCCTCGACTTCTCGAGTTCTCAACTTTTCGAGTACGCGATTCCGTAATCCGAATTAGCCCTGGCAATTACCTTTCGGATTTGCAGCTCCTAGACTTTGACTTTGATTTCGGTTTCTGTTTGTTTGGCGCTATTTGCTTGCTGATTTGCGAGAATATCGCATGGCAAAAACCTGAATGACTTGCCGATTTGCTTAGGCCATTATCATGGTGATGGTGATGGTGCTGTCGCTGTCGCTGGCCAGTTTTCGGGGGTGCAACCATTTAGATTGTTTTCAGATTCCGGTGCCGGATTTAGAGCCAAAATCGCACTTGGATTCTTTGTGCGGCGACAAGGTCAAGTTACGCCTTAGTTTCTTATTTTTATCGCTCATTTTATAGGGTTCTCAAAATCCCGTTTGCTTTATTGCAGTTTCAATTTGTCGCTGCCGCAAAGTGGCCAATCCACCTGATTATGGCGATAAGTTCCCGACTTGCACCGGCATGTGGGTAATCAAGCCCGTTTGACGATCTATAAATCTCTTATGCTAAAACATATATGCATATAGAAGCCACAAACAATTTCAGCCAGTCTTCAGTCAGAAGAAAACTAGAATTTTTAATCGAAACTAAAAGTTTGTGCTTTGGCCGAACCATTTATAATTCAATATTCAAGTTTTTTTCGGCTGCTCTCCAGTCTGGGAATTTGCATTGACCTTTTCATCTCTTTAGACTTTAAGCATTATGCAAAATTCGGAAGCCAGTACTAGTCATTAGGGGGGGATAGTAGATGCCAAAAGCCGGCTGAGAGCAGCTGCTTCCTTCTTCCTCGATAATAGAACAAATAGAAATGTATTAAAAGTACATTAACCTCGTTGAACCCTGGTCCAGCACTTGGGTATTTCAACTATTTGATTAACAGAGTAACTCAAACCCTATTTGTTAATCGCCAGCCCTTAATAAGTGTTGTATAATTGTTAAGTCAGCCAAGTAAAAAGCAAACAGTTAAACAGTTTGACAGAAGCTTCATTTCACAACAATAACTACAAAGGCATGGCCATTATGAATTTATTAAGGCGTCAGATTGTCTGTGGGCGGGGGGGCCATTGTGGCCAGAAAATAAAGTAATTAAAGATCACAGCGAATCATGTCATTGTCAAGTGTTTGAACACAGGCCCGAACAAGATCGGATCATATCGCAGAAGTGTGCACTCGAGTGCCTTTTGATGGGGGCACCATTAATATGCACTGACGGCTCGCCAATATTGCTTTATTATTTTGTTTTTGTTTTTTTTTTGTCTTATTTTTTTTTCTTATTTGGCATTTGTCATTAATGGGCGGCCTTTGTTTCGGGTAGCAGTTATGCGAGAGATATTTGAGCTGGCTTTGTTTCGCTGTGAGAAGATACTGGACTCGAGATACAGATGGGTCGGCGACGGAACATGCTGGGAATTACGTGATTGATGGCGGACCTGCGATTACCCCAAAACAGCAAAAAAAAAACAGCAAAAGTACGTCCAGAACCGAAGGGGGGAGCACAGCACTCCAGTGTAGAATATACATATTATACGCAGCAAAATCAGTGAAATCTTGTCGCGTCTAAAAAGGAAAATCACACAGCAATGCAAAATTTATGAGCGAACTACGTCGAACGACGTCTCCGGGCGAACGGAGCAGGCATACCAAGTAGTGGGCTGGGATTTCGGATCGGGATTGGAATTGGGATATACAGACTGCGACTGCGATTGAGCGGATGTGCTGACTGCACTCGGGCGTGAGTCAGCCAGATGTCCGTGTTCTGACACGGACCTCTGTACTAAATCTTACACGGTTTAATGTTTATGAGCTATGGTGTGGAAAATACCTTTAAATTGTATAGGAATTGGCGGAAAATTTGCATTTTGATTCATTACCAAGTGCCCACATGACGTATGCGTAATATAGCAAGCACTAACACATTTCAAGAATACTAGCTGAAGCTATGATCTTCTTCCTGTTGGGGTGACATTTTTAAAAACTGAGTCCCACTTATAAGGGTACTTAACAAATTAAAAATATTTATTTTGTTTTGATAATATTACTAAAATGATGAGTGTTTTCGTTAGAGTATTTGCTATTTAATTACTTCTTCTGAAGATGCAGCATTATTTTGAAATATTTTATAAGTCAGAAGTAATTAGAGCATTAGGTTAAGTCGTACTCAAAGTCAAACCCAAATTTATAATTAATTCAATTGTAAATACCTCTCTATCCAAATTCTTTACGATCTGATCACAATATTATTTCCTACATGACTAGCTCTTGATTACTTGTTTACTTCTCTCCGCTTAATAGCCTAGGATTTACGAGGTTTCATAAAATTGGACCATAACATTCCCATTTCCAGTCCCCAATCTCCCATACCCCGGGCTAGCCTGCATGCTCTCTGGTGTTAGTTAGTTACATACTTCAATCCGCGATCCAAACTGCGCCACTCAATTTGACTGTTTTTAGGCGCTGCCGACGAGCTCGACTTACCGCCCACCAAATGCCGCCGTCAACGTTGACGTCGACGTTGCAGTCGCAGTCGCAGCCGGCGAACCGCTGAGCCGCCGAACCACTGAGCCGCCGTCAGGTGTTGTGGTTTTTGCAAGCCGCAGTCAAGCTGAGTCTGCTTTCGTCTGCCTGGCAGCGCGGTTCTGGAACGCGTAACGCTTGTCTTGTCTCGTCTCGCCTCGAAAATCACTTTTCAAACTCCATTCGGGACTCCAATCGGATTCGATCGGACCGCGGACTCAACCTGTTGCCGCTCATTGTGTGTTTTTGGCATTGCCTGCAACGATTTTGGATATTTTCTTGTGCAAGATTGCGTGCGGCATAAAACCGCGTAAAAGCATTTGAAAACATATTTCGAAAGTGTAAAGACTATAAAAAAAAGGAATAAAAAAGATAGTACACAACTTTAGCAGATACTCTGATATCCCTGCAACGCTTGCTAAGATTCGTGCGCGGCCTGTAATTTGCCATCCATTTGTCGAAATCCACTCCAATCTGTGGGCGTGGGATCAGTGCAGCCAGCTAAAGCGGTGAGTCTTGAATTACATGGGATTATGGCCAATCTGCTCTACTACTTCTCGTATGACAATTGCCATTATAGTATGTGCGGCAATGTGGTAGTGGCTTTCTAAAAAAAATGCCCCGAAACGAGTTGGATTCGCTCCGCAATTCCGGGACAGGGGCTCGGGTGTGCACAGAAAAATGTGTGAAATTTCATTGAATTTACCAAATTTTATACACAAACACAGAGCAATTGGGAAATAATTCATTGTTTTGCCCATTGCAACTGGAGTTATGCCTGCAAAGAATCGATAATAACCATGTGGATTATTATATTACCCCCATGGTTTCGGTTATTTATTTTTTCGTGCATTCCAAACGAGTTACAAGTTTGGCCAAACCCAAATTCGATGGGGAAAAACACTTCTTACTCAAGCTAATTCCGGGCATTATTTAAAATAGCAGTTAGCAAGTCGGTAATAAACCATTTTTTTTTTGGGAATCTCAAATACTTTGTGGTTGTGGCTTATTTATTTGGGTTTTTGGATCATTTTGGTAGATTTTAAATGTTATTATTAAAATATTATTAATATATGTGGACTACCTCCAGGACTAATATAACGATACAAAGTCCAAAGAACTCATAGGGTTTATTCCTTTTACAAGATCTTTGTGGTTTTTATTTTACGTTTTTAATTAAATAATCATGTAATTTGTAATTTTAGAGCTTTTAACGTCGTTTCATTAGTTTTATTTCCAAAGTTCTAGTCAGTGAAAAGTTGTTTTTCGTTTGGCATTGACTATTTTATGATTTATGTGTGTTAATTGCTGATTTGTAAAAAGTGAATAGCAAATGAATGTTTTATAGAAATAAATGATTGAATAGCAAACATGATGGGCCTCAGTTAACATGTATTAAACTTAATAAATACAAATTATTAAAGCTTCAATATGCATTTGCTGACATCTATAAGGGTTTAATTTTATTATTAAAAACACTTTATAATCGGTGAAATTTAATATACACACACATGTTTCCTGAAAGAACTGAGTTGTAATGATATTAATTGATGTATCCACGTGTATCCCTAATAAATACTGTAAATTCTTGGCATCTGTCAACATTTAAATGATCTGGAAACAAGAAACACAACTCACACCGACCACCAGTAATTAAAGTCTCTAAATTCGTGGGCACGAAAAAGCCCAGTAATCATTCGGCGACGCGTCAGACGGCTGGCTGACAACTCTTTAATTATAGCACAAAAAAAAGAGTGCTAAGTTTCGTGTCATAGCAATTCAATTAATTCGCAATTTATCAAAATACTCGTACCCGGGCATTGTCCGCAGAGTCAGGGCTTTGATTTGGCGGTGCCGGCCAAACATATTTCATTTGTCCACCACAAACAACTGGGATCAGTGGCAGCAGGAGCACGAGGAGGAATAGGACGACGGACGGCTGACATCCATGGGCTGTGGGTGGGACTTTCCGTGGGGCGTCAAGTGGAAAATAATCGATGATGTGCCCGGGCACAATGCAAACATTGAATCAAAGTCAAATAGCATTAAACTTTTTGAACTTGCGAGGCGGGGCGAAAAATGAAATAATAATAAAAGTTTGCCCCGCCGCCTTGCGAGAGGCGTGAAAGCGCACACAAAAAGTGAGGGGGTTAGCCCAGGGATTGGCTCTGGCTCTGGCTCTGGGTTTTCGGTTTGAGTTTGGGGATTCCACACTGCAGTTTTTTGGATTTCCGTGCCCCATCTCTTTTTTTTTTTTTATTCTTTTTTGGATGAGCACAGCGTAGCGCAAATATTTGACAAATCCCGCGAAAAGTCTGCTTATGTTGTCACCTCGCCTCTCTTTTTCCCCTTTTTTTTGTTCGTTGCCAGGATAGCCGGGATTGCGAGTGTGACTGGCACTGGGCCAGTCATACTGATTAGGATTTGCCGGAAGAAGAGCCGCCAGTGAGTTCGGTCCAGTTAGGTTTCCAAAGAACTTAAAGCGTTCGACAATGCCAGCGATTTGCATGCGAACATTAAAAATTTAATTTGCATGCATCTATCGTGGTGTAATTTATATTTTGTGCACCCTCCCACCCACCTACCCTGCCCCACTCGTCCCCCTGTTTTCATTTCGCGTGTTGTTTATGCAATTTTCGAGTTGCCTTGCGAATGCCAAAAGAAAGCAAATGCTCTCAGACTCTGCTAACGAGTGCAGGCGCGCGTGTTCGTATCTTGTGGATGTCTCAGCTGAGCTGGGCTCCTCAGGACCCCCGGCTCCTCCAGGTCCACCTCAAGCCCCGCCTGCTCCCAACCCCTGGCCAGGTGAAGGCGAACGTAGTAAATGCGCCAATTTGTATGCAAGCAGCATTAATCGGGGGGTAATCCGGCAGCGATGCATTGCACACGAGGCGAAGCCAGAGTCACAGAGTCCACACTTAAAAGAAAAGTCACCCAGAAATTTAGAGAATATATATTATATATTAAAGTGACCATAAACAAATCTATATATTTAAAAACATAATTCATAGATGCTAGTTGAATAATTTATCTTATTCTGAATTGTTTCCTTTTATCTCTAAAACTTTACAAAGTTTATAGAAAATTTCCTCAAATTCAGTCTCATTTTTCTCCAGTGCAGAGTGCAAGTTAAGCCAGGCCAAGAGCCAGAGCCACAGCCAAAGCCTGGCCAAGAGGGGCTGCCAATGTTACGTGAGATGTGCAATTGCACGAAATTGATTTGTAATCGATAAATGTGCGAATATTGCTTCTGCTGCGAATTAGCAGCCGGCAGAGGCAAAGCATTCAAAGTGCCCAGAGCCGCCGTTCTTCGTTTAGCATTTGCCAAGCTTGTAAAATATGCATAAATAACTCAACAACATCGGTGGCAGCATCAGAGAAGCAGCAGCCTGACCATGAAACCGATTGGGAACATCTTCATTTAAATTGTTTAGTGGCCAAGCCAAGTCGATTGAAGTTTTCATTGTGAAAATGACGTTTCCCCAATAATTACAGTTTAATTAAAGGAATTTCAAGAATATTTTAAATTATTTAAAATCTCTATAAGAAACCTTACAATAATTAAAACCACTAAAAAAACGCAATCAGCTTTATTACCTTGTTCAATGATAGTTCTTTAGAAATCATTTTAATCAAGGGGTATTTTTTTGCTTTTAAATTAAAAACGTCAAAACTCCGAGAATCTATCCATATGGCCACATATTAAATTCTACATATTCGTTTAATTTGTGTAATTATATTTAGCAAAGACCGTAGCTATGCTGATGGCTTTCCCATTACACTTATTAATTATTCACCGAGCGCTGTGTTATGCATGTAATTTTAAAATTCCAACGGTTTTGAGTGAACCACTTAGAGTGGCAGGCAGTTGATATGAATTAACAATAGATGAACCATTGATGAGCAGATTTAATGCGATATTGAAATCATTTAAGGCCGCCCGATTCCATTAGACTCTATCTCGCTCCGCTTTCCAGGTGGATTTCATTTAACAAATTAGTTCTCCGAATGTGTGTGAATGCGTTCGAGTGCTCGCTTTGTGCTGCAAAAATTGAAAAATCAAACACAAGGAAAACCACTCGAGATTCAGCGGCAGCAATAGTTCGCAATAGCTTGCAATAGTGGTCGTAGTAGTAGCCACTGACAAGGTCGGCACTTTGGCTTTTATTTGGGGCCCGGCGGTTGTCGCATTCTAAGCAAATCGTATATATGTATATATGTTTGGCATAGAGCTATAGCTAAAGCTATAGCTACTTGTGGAATTGCTGAATTGTCGAATCGTGGCCCGGCCGTAATACACGTATTAATCTTGCCTCGCTTCTTGTTAGATGTGGCGTTGTTTTTGCGGTGGCAGCTTCGGCTTTGGCAGCAACAAGTGTTTAATTGCAATAAATGCACCTGACCGCCTTGACAGCCAGTGCGCCTCCGAGCTTGAGCTTGGACCGAGTCACATACACGCAGAGAAATTCAACTCATTATCAGGACCTTATAATAGTTTTTAATTTTGAAATTGCCACAAACCGAAGGGTTCAATGGCCGCCCAGAAGGAGTTTTATTTTGCTACTCTAAACTTTAGAATTATTAAAATTAAATTGAATTTATTTTAATATACAGATAAGTTTTCCTTGAGTGTAGTAGAGTGGGCTTGGTTTTCGGCAAGGCTTTCTGGTTCTCTCAGAATCTTCAGTTGGCCATTGGCCATTGACGATTGAAAGGTTAACTCCACTCGATGGCGGTGACATTGAACATGAACGTGGCCCCAAACTCTGCACGTAAAGTTGCCAATGTTACAGCGGATTTTGGTTTGTTTTCGTACATACATACATATGTCTGCCAACGTTTTGGCCCAATTAACGTTGGTACCATAACTTTGGCATGGCCGTTTCAGCATAAGCCCCGACCGTGTACATCCTGTAACGGCCTTTTAATTATGTATGTCGCTATGAAATCATCGCCGACCTGGCTAAAAGGTTTACCAGCGCATCCAACTGGGTCATTACCATGGCCTGGCTTTGATCTCCGGCCAAGTGCCCCCGCGCCAACGCCAACGCTAACGCCTGGCCATGTCGTTGATGTGGCCGTAAAAGACTTACTCTAACAGGTTATAAAGCAAGTGAATTGTCTTGAATGTAATGCGCCATAAAGACATAAATTAGAGTTTGGCCCGGACAAGATGAAGACGCCGTCGACCTGAGGTGGCTTAGACCCGATGGCATTTGCTGGCCTTTACCCAGGTGCCTTTCGCAAGCACCTCTTGACCTTTGCTTAAGAAGCTCTCAGGATGCAGACTGTCTCAGGGTACGAGGAGAGACGGTGAATTATATTTTTGAAGACATGGAAAATCATAGGAATGCCGGTAATCATGTTTGAACTTCAAAGAATGCACTTAGACGTTTCATAACTCAACTCCAGACATTTATTGACTAGTGAATTATGAATTAAGGCGGAAATATCTAATGGCAAGGCCTAAAATTGACTTGAGCCAACGCAACCACATTCATTGACTTCC